GGCAAGTTGGCGCCTGGCCCTCATGCTTCACGCGGAAGGTATTGCCTTCGGCTGTCCGCACGAATGATGGCACCTGCCTGCAGCCGTTGTTCAGGCGAACAGTTGCGAAGCGTAGATATCTACGCCTGTTCCGACAAATGGTACGCTTTCCAACGGCCAAAGAGAGTTGGAAAGCTTGTGTCTTTGTGGGTAACTTGAACATTTGGGGCTCATGTAAAATCGCACTGATTTTGGGATTTCCCTCATTGCCGAGCCACCGTGCTCACAGCAGAGACTTCTGTGTGTGTTATTGTCGTGAAAGTGGACCACAAAGACGCGCCCGACTTTGTGCGGGTACGTACGGCCGTGGCGAATGGTGCCTTGCACCGTACCGTATTTTGTGTATTTTGTGAGTGCATGTATGATGGCGGCATCGGAGATCCAAATCGGGACGTCAAAGATGTGCACTTGCAAGGAGAGAGAATGGCGGACAGCAATATGTGTTTCGCCAAGAAAGAAACCGTATTCTGCAATGGACTTAGTTGTAGATTGGCTGCAGAACGTTACCTTACAGGCTGATCCGGTAATTTGGACGGAGGCGACGTCAGCATAACCCGGGTCGATGAGGGTGTCCGCAATTTCTACTATCTTCTGGCCTGCGAGGCCGTCGACAAATATTACGGTATTGGCCTTCAATTCGGCCGGCGACATCGACCTCCACAGTGGCTCTGGGGGCTCAGGCTTTGGGCTGCCTGGCGATGGGGAGTCATCCATGCTAGATAGGTAATACTAGTTAGAATAGCAGTGCATATGTGTTTCTAGGGTGGGGATGTGGTCACGACACTCAGAGCTTCAAAACTTGCTTCTCACTCCTGGCGAGCTTTTTTGAGTTGTTGTTGTTGTTTTTTTAATTGAATTCTTTATTCTCACGATGGCACCATCGCCAATAAGAGATAAATTTATGAGAAGGTGAGATTGTGGGTTAAACAGTTGGAAAGTGATTTACCAATCACTTTCAACTTTACAAGTATGGGAGAGGGTGAGCGCTGCAGGAGCAGATTGAGTTAATCAGCAGTGAGCAGATTTCTTGTTTGAAAGCAGGTCGGGAGGCCGGGAGACGTCACGAATGCTAGCAGGGAGGGCATTGTAGTATTCTAGGGACTTGTTCAGTGGGGAGTCTTTACAGCGATCGGTTCTGGAGGGTAGGAGGTGCCAAGTGCGTGTGTGTCGAAGGCTGTACTGGGCCGTAACTTGAGCGGGGGTGTTGAGCAAGCGTATGTGTTGTGTGGCATATTGTTGTTGTTGTTGTTGTTGTTGTTGTTGTTGTTGTTGTTGTTGTTGTTGTTGTTGTTGTTGTTGTTGTTGTTGTTGTTGTTGTTGTTGTTGTTGTTGTTGTTGTTGTTGTTGTTGTTGTTGTTGTTGTTGTTGTTGTTGTTGTTGTTGTTGTTGTTGTTGTTGTTGTTGTTGTTGTTGTTGTTGTTGTTGTTGTTGTATTTGTTGTTACTGTTGTTGTTTTTGTTTTTGTTGTTTAATTTACTTCTGAAATTCTAACGGGCAATAACAAGAAAGCGAAGGATAAGAAAACAATTATAATTGAAATTAAGGGCTAAAGATAATGAATTATGGGCGAAAATGAAAAAGAAAAGAGCGGGGTGGTACAGCCGTTTTCCTATTCTGAATTCCCTGACTGAAGCTGAGGCATTAGCTGGATCCATGCAACTATCACACAGCAGCAGCGTAGCAAGAGAGCTACCTCCGTCAACATCAGTGGATGTGGACTAACTAGACTATGAGTGGATGTGACAGCAAAAGTGACTGTGTGGAGGAGGTGTGGTCGTGCGGGTGTGGCAATGATGACAACAAGATGACAGACCTCTTGAAAACACTGCGTTTGGGAATGGTATGAATATCGCTGGGTAGTGGCAACAGAGAACCTAGCCTGACCAGTGCCGCTTGCAGCGGGTGGTACGTGCGCTCCGATGTCCTTCTACAAGCGGGTACGGCAACTGGGTGACTTTGAAATCAGTGCGTAACTGAGCAGGCTCCCCGCAAAGCCGTGGATGCATCGCCCGGTGAACAATAGCACCTTTTGTTTGTCCAGCTCTGCGATTCGGCAGAGTTCTACACATTGCTCAGCAGATCTACAGTCCGACTGCGCCCACCCCTGCAGTGCAATCTTCATTAGCATCGTGACTATTTCCAACGCCGAGGTAAGCTTTGATTTTTCTTTATCAGATCTCTATGATTGAATGTATATATTATACCTCTCTCCATATACACCCACACTCATATACCAGATCTCCCATGAAGTTTATAAATTTCCATATACACTGTTCAATATACACCACTAAGGAGGTATATACACCACTGAGGAAAACCATCAGAAAAAAAACTCACTGAGGAGCTTTCTTTCTCTAAAAAGGAGTGTATATAGCTTTCTTTCTCTAAAGCTATATTCACTCCTTTTTAGGGAAAGAAAGCTATATTCACTCCTTTTTAGGGAAAGAAAGCTATATTCACTCCTTTTACGGAAAGAAAGCTATATTCACTCCTTTTTGCTCTTGAGCTTGCGCATGGAGAGGTATAAATATATTATAACAAGGGACCTCGTGTATATCGAGAAATATCGACCAGTTATAAAAACCTCGGCTTCGCCTCGGTTTTTATACTGGTGTATATTTCTCGATATACACTCGGTCCCTTGTTATAATAATATAAACATATAACAAGGAACCGAGTGTATATCGAGAAATATAGACCAGTATAAAAACCGAGGCGAACCCGAGGTTTTTATAACTGGTCGATATTTCTCTATATACACGAGGTCCCTTGTTATAATAATTATATTTATACCTCTCCATGCGCAAGCTCAAGAGCAACAACCAAAAAGGAGTGAATATAGCTTTCTTTCCCTTAAAAGGAGTCAATAGAGCTTTAGAGAGAAAGCTATAATTATACACTCCTTTTTAGAGAAAGAAAGCTCCTCAGTGAGTTTTTTCCTATGGTTTTCCTGAGTGGTGTATATACCTCCTTAGTGGTGTGTATACCTCCTGAGTAGTGTATATTGAACAGTGTATATGGAAATTTATAAACTTCATGGGAGATCTGGTATATGAGTGTGGGTGTATATGGAGTGAGGTATATTATATACATATACACCACTAAGGGAGAACATGCCTGTAAGTGTATATGGAGTGAGGTATAAGAGAATATACACCGAACAGAACTTGAACTTTCTGTTATAGACCGCCACTTGGCTATGTTCGTAGCCCCATGTTTCATTCATTCAGTAGCGGTCGTGCAGATGGTCATGGTGCGAGTTTTCAGTCTCTGGGAGCAAGACCTCTGTCACACTCGTGCATAGCTATGGTTGGTTTCATCTCCGATTTACGTTCTATAGCATTCACATATACACTAGAAAAAGGGGATGTTTCGCCTATTTCCTAATCACGTAAAATATGCGAGCTGCGTGAAAGGGGATCGGTCATGTTAGGGTGCGCTATGCTAGAACAACCTGCCTACAAAAATAACAGTATTCGCTCCATCTCCATTCCTTTTCAGTTCTGTGGGGCACCAATCCCGTTTCTACTATGAACTGAGTACATTGAAAAGCAACTGTATGTGTGGCTGTCAGCGTACATGTGTGTGTTTGTGTGTGTGTGTGCTCGTGTGCGAATGTGTCTGAGTGTGAGGATGTGCATGAATGTGTGTGAATTTGTGTGTGTGTGTGGGCGCGTGTGTATGTGTGTGTATGTGTGTGTATGTGTGTGTATGTGTGTGTGTGTGTGTGTGTGTGTGTGTATGTGTGTGTATGTGTGTGTAGGTGTGTGTATGTGTGCGTGTGTGTATGTGTGTGTATGTGTGTGTATGTGTGTGTAGGTGTGTGTGTGTGTGTAGGTGTGTGGGTAAGTGTGTGTGTATGTACATGCATGTATGTATGTATGTATGTATGCGTGCGTGTGTGTGTGTGGTGTGTGTGGTGTGTGTGTGGCTTCGATTGCTCTCTCTTCTCTTCTCTCTTCCTGTCGCTGTCTCCCGCTTCTGGGCGGCAAGTCCCATGCTTCATGCATGCTTGTTCCTGTTGTTTTAGTACGTAAGCCCAGGTACGTGTATATTGTGTCCTGCCGCTACTTGGGCTTTGGCCGTGACCACGATTTATCTTCTCGTTTCTCCTTTCTCCTTTCCTTTTTCCTTTGCTAAGAGCCGTGAACACGATTTACCTTTCCTTTTTTCTCCTTTATTTCTTTTTTTTGCATATTTTCTTTTCATCTGTTTCTCTTTCCACGTTTTCTCATGTCTGGGTTCCTTGTACCTCATTCGCTTCCTTGTCATCGGACATATCAGTCCGTTAGGTTTTGCGAATTCAAATAAAAACACAACCAGCAAACCAATGTTGTTTTTGAAAGACCGTAAAGTCTTAGACAAAACCTCTCCCCTTTTGTTCCTAGTATGGTTGCAACCTGATCTACATCATGAACATGTAAAACATATTTTTTGGAATTTCGGAACCCCGACACAACACACTTTCTAGTTCTTCAAAAACAGTTCTAATTTTTGAAATTCATTATGACTCAGCTGCACTTGTACAACGTTTACGTTGTATCAATTGCATTGCATAGTTTCATTTTTGCTTTATTACTGGTACAAAACCACAGTTCTAATTTTATTCACATTCATATCTCTGATGAAGCTCTACAGAGCAGAAACCGGTTAGATATAATGAATTTCAAAACTTAGAACTGTTTTTGAAGAACTAGAAAGTGTGTTGTGTCGGGGTTCCGAAATTCCAAAACTATCACTTGTTCCAAGTGATATGATGTTGATGAGTGATCTGCAGACCTACGAAAACAACTTCAGATCAACAACTGGCTTCTTCTGTTTAAAAGATCAGGCTTATATAAACAGATTCGAGCAGCTTCTAGAACATTCAACTGCCTTACATAACTAGCACGAGAAAGAACAGAGAATTGAGCTTCATCCAAACGAGATAACAACTGATGGTTTTGTCTTCTTTCACATAGGTTTGACTGAGGCCATTTGCCGGCAAAACTGTAGCATCATTTCCGACCTGGACAAATGCGATTTGTGTACCGGTTATCTGTTCAACTACAATTGCCTTGGTGAGTAGTGGTATTCGACTAGTACGTACTCCACTCACACCATGCCAGCAAAGTGCTGACAGTGCTTTTCCAGGGTCGTCAGGGCACAATTCCTGGATTTGCCTTTCTTTTCGGGAAATTTTTTTGTCGTGTGTAAAAGCCTGCCTCATAAGCCTGGTTTGAATTGAATACAAACATGATTTTGAAGACAATAATTATTATGATCGACACGACAGCCTTGTTTTAGTGTTGACATACGTAGAAATAATCATTTTGATTAGAAGTCTGATTTGAATAGAAGCCAAACCCTGACATCGGCTTCTACAGGAATAATCCCGGCGTTTGTACGTGAAATTACGATAATAATATTATGTAAAACACTTTCCATTATAAATGTATTATCGTAAAATGTGTAGCATGGAAATTGTGTGCACAAGTTATGCGATCAAGTTGCCCAACTAAACAAGATTTTGAACAGTCAGACGAACACAATCTAGCACAAAACTGACAGGGAGTACTGGGTCATGGCATGAAAGTCACCTTGAACACTGCACCATAGTGCTAACCAACGGATTAGTTGGTGGACTCGATCGCATAACTTGTACCCACAATTTCCATGTGACAAAAATATTCCTTGGCTCACCATCTGAGGTCATATATTAAAATATATAGAACGTAATGATAATGTTGAGTCACACAAGGAGTCACCATCCCAGACACAAAGGAACATTTTGGGACAGGTACTAGTAGTGGGAAGACATTTATCATAGATGGAGAGACGGAGAGAAAGAGGAACTAAACGACTACATTATGAAAGAGAGAGATATTTTGAAGAGAGTTGAGAGAGAGATCTGAAGAGAGTTGACGCAATATATAGGGCCTGGGTAGCTATGGCAAACATGGGTGCGCAAGTAGCTACCCAGGCCAACGGAACGAAAGGTGAGAATGACGTAGGTGAGAATGACGTACCACGGGCGGAGGTACCTAACAATAAGAAGAGAAAGAACATCAAGCAGTTTTGTAAGCAGAAGCTCCACAATCTAACTGCAAGGTACCTGCGTCATATGTCATCTGACAATTCTCATCCAGAGACGTGTGAGTCCAGTAGCGACGTTTTTATGCTATGAAGGATCTAGTTCTTTTTGAGCCTGCTGGATTGGACTCAATACTTGTAGATATGTGTAACTAGCTGTTTCTGTTCATAGTTTCTCCTAAAACCTCGTCCAATTTCATCAATGAATCAGTGTCTACTTTGGTATCGCCATTGACACTATCGCCAGACCCTGGGGCACAGCGAGAATGCTCACCTTTGTCTGTTTAATTCGCGCACGGCTCCTTGGTTTCCATGGATTTGTGTAACAGTTTAGCTAAAACGAATTGTACCGGTACATAATTTTGTTTGTAGTAGACATGCAACACCTTTAGCACTTCAATGTGTTGCAACTGTAGTCAGGTAAATGTACAAGACTAATGCAGCATGCCGAGCCAAAGCTGCTACACAAATCCGAACTGCGGACGTTTTTTTGGGATTTTTGCGAGAAATCATGTGGAGATTAGCCATAAACGGCTGTTATGCATGCATAATCCAGCGAAATTATGTACGGTACAACATTTTCCCGTCGCCCCAGTGATCCATGATGCTGCCGTTCGCGACCTTGCTGCCTTTTTCAAATCTCTGGAAATATTCGGCAAGGTTTCGCATATGTTTCTGTTGATTCCAGCCGTTTTCTACGCTGGATTCGCGAAGTCTAAGCGAATTCACCTTCCTACCTTCAAGCTGCGCAAGCAGATATTTTGATCGTCAAAATGCGCAATGGGAAAGTGAAGTTACGATCTTTTTCGTTTCGTTCTTCCTTGTCGTGCCGGCCATTGGTGTTTATCAGAATTGGCTCACATTCAAGGCTTCCTCCTAAGGGGTGCAGAATTTTTGGCAGCCTTCACTCCAATTTTCATTGAAAGGTTTGTCCTTTTCCTACGTCGTAGTTATATTTTCATTGCCGCCCAGATTATCGTTTTCGTGCCCAAGTCGATTTGCGTGGCGTACTTGGACGTCAATTGCAAGTGTTTGCTGATATTTGCAGGACGATTGGAGGTGTGTTCTTCTGCCTCAATGTCTAACGAATGCCCCGGTTTCGTCCGCCATAGGAGGGATTCATGCATGCTTCGTTCTGGATGTCAGCAAGTACAAATCAGACATGCATCCAATCAACATCTTTTGAAATTCATGCTTTCGAAATGTATGTAGAAACAGGACCGTGTGTAGAGATTTTAAACATTAGAGACGCAAGATTCCCTATCTGTCTGAGGCCTTACGTGTATGGGTTTTTTTTGTATTACTAGTGTTACTGTGGATTTAGGCCACGCACAATGTAGTCTTTCGATGATCCCGCTGAAAAGCACACACTTGCATGCGTAAAGGCATGCGTAAAGACCATACTGAAATACTTCAAGTAATTGAACAACAGCAAACGGCAACCGTGATGCAGCTTATATATCTTGCACTACATCAGCACTAAGCACAGCATTGGCACTAAGGACAGGGCCGCAGCCGCTGGTGATGGCGGTACCTGGTTTTACCACTCTCGGCGTTCATGATAATTACATGTAACATGTTCAATATGCAAATGATTATGTAGAACACAAATAGGCTATCCTCGTACACTCCTCACTAGAGTCCCTCCTAAACTGCTTTCTTCTTTAGTGAGGACTACTGTACAAGCTGCATTATGCAGAGTATCTGTTGCTACCGGAGTGTGTAGCCAAAACAAACAGGTTCTTATTCTGATGCGAATAAGATACACAGCATCACACATCTTCATGACCGTGCCATTCCTATGGAGCTGGCTCAGGGCTTGATGGAAAAGCAGTTCACCTGCTGAATTGACAGATGTCCATGAATTCATATTAAAATAACAAGTCGGTCAAGTGAGAATTTAAGTCGGCAGGAATAGCGCAAGCTCCCACTTAGGGAGCAACACACAATTCCCCAAGTATCGTCGAAGTCGCATCAGCCTCTTCTTCACATTAATTACAATACGGCAAATTAAATCAAAGCTGTAAGAAGCTAAATAATTCTGTAACTTGAAACAAGCATTGAAAGAATAGCACCTATAGCAGGTCCATGTGCTTTAAAAGTTAGAGACTGGAAGATATCCTCTATTTGTACACTAACAACACCAACATGGAAGCGTTGCGGGCAACCAACTCCGCCATGCTATGACACTTGATGATGTGTTGTGGTGCTTTGCTTATCACTGCAAGCCCACTGGTTGACTTGACCATCATCCATTGCTTCTTTCATGACGAATATCAGCAGTGCAACTGTGGCAATAAATATCACCGCCTCCAACGCCGCACTTATTGGAGGAGCACATTCTACTGGAAATGAAACACTTCAATTTTCAGTTAGTGCTGATCTGGAATAGTATGGAGAGCAGGGTGGTGAAGGGTTACACGCAAATTCAACATCCTTGCCTATGAGCACTGTGGAGCATGTGCAATGCAGAAACTGCTGTCCAATAGTATACAGAATCTGATTTCCAGCAATCCTAAAATCCTCACATTGATCCCCAAGGTGAAGAGCACACGCATGAAGAGACGTACATGTAGCTGCTATGTCATCAACTTTGCGTTGAGAGAGTAGCAGACGATCGAATTCTATCCTTCTCCTTCTCCAAGATGAATTGCAATCAGTCTAAAGATTTATTTGTGCTCTTTTCTTATCCACGGAAATCTGGCTGTAAGCTGTCCTCAGGGGAGAACATGTTCTAGAATAAGAGCAGTGGGGTTCCATCTGTTCACGTCATGATGGTAGCGAGTCAAGCAAACGTGCCCCCTTCTTGTTCCGAAGTTTCAAACACACCGAATTCCATGATGCACTACATTACTAGAATTTATTACACTGCATCGTCTTGAAAACAATTCCTGTATTGACTCCAGGACATACTAACTTCAGTACTTCGCCGAAGGGAGGTTTCCAGGTCTTGGTAGACTTATTCTCCCCCAGCATGGCCTCATACGACCTCTCCAAGGCACGAATCCATCGCCCCAAAAACTAAAACTTTCTTCGATAAATTTGAAAAATGTGCAGAAAAACTGCACGCGTCTGCACGCTGTGCGTACGCGAGCTGTTGCGATGCGGGTTGCTACGGTACGCCGCCATATTGATAAATGTCGCACTCGGAACAGCCGTGCATAGAGGATCAAAGAGACGTTCGTGAAGTGATTATCAAACAGACAAAGAGGTGGTTTTTGTTGTGCCTCAACTAGAATTATACATGGTTATAAGCAAGTCATTTTCTTCGGGTATCGGGTTCGGGTAGTTTTGCACGAGTGGCAGATCGGGTAATGTTTCCATGGTAACACCGCAATGCACCCTTTCCCTTACATACTGGGTATACGTGCAGAGTACTACATGAATTTGCACACGTGCACTGTACATGATGTCATCTGCGACTTCAGGTTTCCGGGTACTATTCTGTACCAGTCTACACGAGGTCCTCACGGGTAGCATGGGTACCCGACTACCTGTGCACACGACTAATTCTGAACTCGGATAGTGAGCCAATTTAACTATGGCAAAAAGATTAGGGGTCAAAAAAAGAATATTCTGGTCACCCATTTATCAACACAACACCAAAAGGAGAAGAAGACGGCAACAAAGGATGGAAAGCGGCGAAATAACCGCTTCTCACCACCAGTCACTAGGCTTTTTGTGGAAGGGAGGGATCTTGAACAGCGATCTGCTCTCAGGAACTACCCTAATGCCTACTGTTTCGAATGGAGGCATCACCAGCAATAATGGTTTTCACCTCTCACTACCAGGATAACAAAGGGAAGATAAAATACACCCACTATTCTGCTACAGCCCTGCTTGCTTCCAGGTTTCCAGGGTGAGGAGCCACAGAAGAAGGGATTGTGTCATAGTATACTTGGAGGTGACGGAGCTGGCGTGGGATAAGTTGCGGCGGCTTCAGAGGCAACTTGACAATGTGCATTCCTTGCTGGAGGTTCGACAATGTGTAATTTTTCTTCCTTTTGGTCTAAAATCGAGAGCAGTATATCCCTTTCTAAGGACGAGAGTGGAAGTTGCGTTGCAACTCCGAGTTTCCAGCAATCAGGATCACACGTTGCCTAATGATCCTGACTGCGTGAGACTCGGAGTTGCAACACAGCTAGGCATTTTCCAAATCGGCCGGCCGAAAAATTCGCCGCAAACATTGGCTATGAAAAGAATTCAAGAGAGTACCTGAGATCGAGTGTACCTGTGGAGCGATAAAATGCTAAAAGCAAAAAGAAGAAAGGAAATCATACGCCAACACCGGTACGCGCTAAACTGCACTTGTCTTGTAATGAAGAGGGAAAAACGGGCGCTCAAGAAAATACACAACTCACCGGCACGCACATGGGGCTAGCATGGGGTGAGATGGTGCTGGTGGGGGTTGCCATGCTCAACCGGCGACCAGAGTTCTCAGCATCTTCACATGGCACACCAGATGAGGGAGGGAAGCATAAGCATAAGCATGAGGGGAAAAAGCACGGGAGAAAATGGAAGATTTAGAACCAAGGAGAGGATCTCATTTGGAACACAGAAGAACATAGCAAATAATGAAATAGATAATAGGAGTGAAAGGAGAGTGTCAAATGAAGGGTGCAATAGGGTAGCAGTGGAGATTGGCTACTCACGATTGGCGACAATTAGGCTTGGGGTGGGAGAAGCAGGGGCATAAGCCCTGAGGAGGCTAGAGGTGGTCGTTTGCCCAGTCCCAGTCAGACTGCCTCAAGTGGTCATAAACCTTCTTCTTGAAGGTCTGCATCGCCTTCTGGGAGGGGCGAGCACTGAGGATACAGGCTGTTAGGCAAGTCCAGCTGTCAATCATACAGGGGGGGGGGGGGAGGGGAGGACCGAAGGACATTGTTCCGAGACTGAGGTGGGACTGAGGTTTTGGTCAGCTGGAGTGGACGGTGGTTCGCAACTGTGCGCACGCTGGCTCGGGTGCGGGCCCGGGCCGGGGCTGGAGCTGGCAGGGGTAGGAGGGCTGTGATCATGGCAAGGTATGATAAGATAGACAACAGGGGAATCGGTCGGTAATTCTTGGGATTGGTTTTTGACCCTTTTTTGTGAACAGGCACAACATTTGCAAGTTTCTAAGTTACAGGTTGATAGCCATTGCGGAAGCACTGGGCAAATAGCCGGGAAAGTGGGAGAGCCAATGGTTAGGCGCAAATCTTCACCATGGCAGGTATTGAGTCAGGTCCAGTGGCCTTCCTGGGGTCGAAAGCAAGCAGGATGCGGCGCATTGTGGCTGGGCGGAAGTGGATTGTAGTGAGCAAGTTCCGGGAGCGTAGGCGAACAGAGCGCATTATGCAGGAGGCGTCAAAGTCATTCTCAAGGCTGCATTTATCAGCGAAGTACTGGCATATGAGTTCGGCCTTCTCGGTATTCCTGGTGTGCTCATTGCCATGGCTGTCGATGAGAACTGGGATAGAGCTGTCTCTACCGAGCCCTCCGGAGTGCTTGCTCAGGCTCCACTACTCCTAATCCTGGAGACTGCCTGTTGCAGGCTTCACTCTGGTGTGCTGGAGATGTGCTTGCTTAGCGCTGGATAGTCTCGCACAGAAGCCAAGCATGCCCATCTATACTCTGCCTGAAGAACAAGATTAGTCGAGTGCTTGCGGAGTCAGCGTCCCATGCCCACAAAACTACGCTTAGTTACATTACTGCAGGAGGAGTCAGGATCATCAGTGATCAGTTCGTTCCACGCGGTTGCTTGGTAGAAGGGTGTGAGCAGAGGCCAATCAGCATGTTGGTAACGCCAAACGGTCCAGGTGTCTGGAATATCTTGGGATGGAGTTAGCTGGAAGTTGGTGGCGATTACTGCATGGTCTGATCGACCAAGGGTTGGGTACATGCTGGTTTACTGTATACACTGTCATATCATGTCATGTTATATATTACGTGTACGCTTTTCTGATATACGCTGTCTTTTGCATGCTATAAATAGGCCTGGTGATCTTAGTGTTAGTTATTATGTTCGAACAAGTGAAATACACCGTTAAGAGTCAATAGTTGTCCTCGTGCCGTGTGCAGTGTGGTCGTTCGTTCCTGACACTTTAGAGAATCAGACGGTTCACAACACCCTTCTCAAAGCATGTAAATGTACATATCTATACTCAGTATACTGTATGAGGTGACTTCAAGAGTTCAAGTACCGCTTTGAGCCAAATTCTGACTTTGGGGCTCATAGTATGGCCGAATTTGGACATTTTCTTAGCCGATCAAAAAGCCGATTAGGCGAGAAAAATCGGGCCGATTTTGGAAATGACAAAACACAGCTTCCCCACCACTACCTCTCTCTCTCTCTTTCCCTCTTGTGTGTGCCTCTGCCCCTATATGGGTATTGAGCACTCTTCGGACAATTGAGCACGCTACTTGATTACGTTTAATCAGCATTATAATTCATCACTCAGAAAGTGGTGGGCATCACGCAACTGCATCGTAAAAAAGGGGTTTGTCAACGGGCAACCGCTTAATTCAGTTGCTATTCACTCTTTGCGCAAGTGCTGGATGAAATTATCATTTGTAGAGTAGCTTTTGGAGCATTATGAGTAGAACTATACAAACCATTTTCGGAGCATTATCCCCTGGATCCGAGCACTGGACGGGACAACAACAAATACAACAATGGAACCGAGAAGCACTCAAACGCCAGCTTAGCAGATTTCATGACTTCCTAGAATTAGTGTCAATCATTACCGGCAGTGTATTAGTGTTAACTGTATCCATTACGTGAGTTTGATTTGTCCCTCCTACATTTACGAGCCTCGGGCTAAGAAAAGGGTGCTATTGGCCTCACTCGCACAACTGAGAAAAGGGCACTTGAAAGCAGGGTACAGACCTTCGCTCTGTAAAGTTGCCTTCACATCTGTGGCCGTTACTATTAAATACTTCGAGATTTTTCAACACGGTTTTCCACATATGAATCAGTGAGATTTTGAGTTTTAGGTATGCTATCTAACTCAATTTATCCAAAAATACCAATAGCACCCTTTTCTCAGCCTGGGGCTCATTACATTTATGTATTCCTTGTGTTTCAACCTGGCTGGTGGTCTAGAGCGAGATGAATGTCTACATCAGATTCACAATTGCGACTCCAATGCTGCGTGTACCAACACGGTTAGGTCCTACAACTGCACGTGTAACTCTGGGTTTTACGGTGACGGCACATCCTGCAAAGGTATGTTACAATTGTTATCAGTATGATAATATGGCATGCCAAATAGAGCTTCAACGGAATGGTTTTGTTCTGGCAACTTCAGTTGCGCTCCATGAAATCCAGCCAATAGTGCACATTTGGCAGCCTCAACTTGTACAGCCTTTGACGCCCTGAAAGCGGCATGAATGCATCTGGACGTACATAGGGTCCAGCGGATAATGCCGGCATTATATTCGGCGTTATGAGACTATCCGAGCATCAGAGCATTATGGAGCATTAGATTCAAACAAAACGAGCATTGTGTGATGTTTTAGCGGCATTACAAATTGCATTGTAGATAATTATTTTGAAATCCCTGTTCTTTTTCTCAACAATCTGCTATATGCAGTCATGAGATGCAACCCTGGTCGTGTCTGAAATGCGTAGATCTACGGTTGGAGCACATTGTACCATGTACCTGTAGCCGTATATGACTTTGTGGACAAGTAACACTTTTAGCACTTTGTTCGCTGTAAGTAGCAATGCTGTCAGGTACGTACCGGTAAATGTACAGTCATGTACGTACAGTCGGAGTCAAAGAAATACGACGCATGATAAAAGCCAAAGGCAGCACCCATGGGGCCCTAGGATGTTTTTTAAACGGTTTTGGACGCAAGATGTATGGTAATAGAGTTTGGACTTGAAATGAGCCGAGGCACTACAACCAAAGATGTTCCACAAATTCGAAACGATGATTTACGTGGAGTAGATGTTTGTTTAGAAATATTGGAGAGCCATGGATCATGGAGGAGACAGACGAAGAGGAGTTTTCTCGTTGTGCCTCAGACCCTGGCGATGGCGTCTCCACCAGGATGAAGGAGCGGCTATGAACAGAAAGCGGAGAGCGTTCCAAAGAACTGTCTTTGCTATGTCCAGCCAAGGCCAGGAGGCTCGAAGAAAAACTAGAATTACCCGTACTCAAGGTCTCAGTTACAAATCCATATGAGCTCTCAGCATTGCGTGCCCGACTTTTCTAGTGAAGCATGTACTGGTAGTTGTGGACGGTTGTAATGCCAAGCCTGCAGTCAAATGCTATAAAAAAAGAGGAGTATCTTTTTCCTGCATTTATCTACACAAGACCAAGAGGAGAAGAAACCACGAAAAGCAAAGGCTGTAGAATTGTACAATAACTTCCTACCACCTGTTTTCCCCAAGTTGGAGGGATCTCGATTCATGATCATCTCTCACGAACTGACTTAATGTCTCCTGTTTAGGATAAGGCACTTTTCACACAGTGGAATCAGTGACAGGTTGTCTGCAGGCAGGAATACCACTTGGAAAGATAAGCTTCCAGCATCCATATGATCACCAGCAATAATGGTTTTCACCTCTCAGTACCTGGATAATAAGGGGAAAAGATTTGATACATCCACTATTCTGCCACCGCCCTGCATCAAGTTGCAATGGAGAGCAGCCACTGGAGAAGCGAAAATGTCTTAAAGTAATAACAGGTGGTAGACCCGGTGGGAGATATTGCGGCAGATTCAGAGGCAGATAGACTACTTCCTCCGTTAACAAAAACTTCGTGATGGAATTTTGAGGGGCTGATTTTGGGCAAAAACTGCCCTGAAATGAGTCACAATCACTTTATTGGCCTTCCCTGGCATGCCATGACAGAGGTACGATGCAAGGAAAGCGACCTTTCACAACAAGCCGAGCGGAATCGATGGTTGCGCTGTGGAAACATAGGTGATGACAGTCATGGCGAGCGAAACTGAAATGCCACTTCTCTGAGGGGATATTGCGCTGCTTGGCCTCTCTACCACTTTGGCACTGAGTACGTCGGAGAGTGATAGAGAGCGATAAAACGGAGCAGCGAGCCCACACAATGAGCGAGTGAACAAGGAGCTGCTCCGATCGCACGGCTCAATGAAAACAATTCTCAACTGAAGTAACACGTTGGTTCTCGTTCAACCTGGGCAAAGCCCAGATTCGAATGCTGATGACCATGCATTCTTTCAGAAGTCTGCAGTCAGATGCGAGTCTCGTGGCTAAAGAAAGTCGACTGGACTTGCTAGCCGCTGCCGTTCAGTGCTGGTATCCATTAGAGAAAATGGAATCAGTTCAGCTGTGCCTTTACTCCTCGTTTCGCGGAGTTCTGGAGAGCGAAGATGAAACCAGGGAGTTGTAAAATATTTTTCACGACTCCCTGGTGGAAACGAGTAATCGCCATCGCGGCGGATCACGCAGCTTGAAAGCAAACTTACTTGAACGGCGGCGACATCAAGCGGAGTGTGATCAAAGAAGCCGAGGCAAGGCTGAAACGAGCTGAACAACGACTCGAGAGAGATGACGACTCGCGTACAGCAGATGACGACTCGCATGCAGCAGATGACGACAGCGACACAGGTCAAAAATGAATCGAGCGAAAGCGACGCAAACTGAACTCTCTGCTCATTCCGCCAACAGTTTCTCTTGTAAAAGCGCTGTACATAGGCTGAATCACCGTCGTCCAGTAATTTGCACTCGATACAAACTGTTCTTGACCTGTTCTAAGCGTTTTCATATCCATCAAAATCCATCACGAAGTTTTTGTTAACGGAGGAAGTATGTGGATTCCTTCCTTGAAGTTTAACAATTTACAGCCATTCTTCCTTTTCTGTCTCAAACCAAGATCATTACATCCCTTTCATAAGCATCATTTTCAGCATAATAAGGCAATTATTGGAGCATTATTGCTAGCATTATACAAAGGTTTTCGTAGCTTTATCCGCTGGACCCAAGACGTACACATGTTCAAATTACTATGACGCAATGAGAACTGGTAAAGGGCGCCAGGTTTTCACTTTGGGTTGGGTTTCACCGAGCGCAATTGTATGTGGTACATACATAGTAACTCCTCCAACAAAATGGTCTTTTATTTCCGCTCCTATAACCATGTCTTGTCGTTGATGTTGCTGATGTCGTTATCGTTTTTGGAATCTTTCATTTTTTATCTTCACAATTACCTGTGGCCACAGAGAGCAGAAGGAACACAGATACGGAATCAAAAACAATATGTAAAAAACACTGCATTCTAAAACGCAACTATACCAATTAAGAGTTTATGGAGTGCAGCGGTGTGGTATAATGAGGCTATAGTTACGATAAGCAATGCGAGAACTTACATACTGAAGAGATAAAGATACGCAGGCTTTGAAATCATATCTGTGGTTGATTTACGATATAGGGAAGCTGGGGAGTCTTTTAACCTTCTTGTGCGTTTTGTGGGTACCTCAAAGATTCGGAAGAACCTGAGGGTGCGAATGAGTTGGATTCGGAGTAGATGGATTGCAGGAATGTGTGATCGTGCACATCCACTACAGCGATGACTCCACTACAGCGCCACCACTGTAGTGGATGACTCCACTACAGCGAGTTGGCGTATGGAGCCAAGCACCCAGTTCTAATAGGCAAACATCATCTGACCGAGTAGCTGTTGGAGAAAACGCACGTCGAAAGCATGTACCAAGGTGTAGAAGGGGTCTTGTTGTACATCCGTCAGAAATTCTGGATTATCGGCGGTCGACGAGCGCTACGCAACATTACTCAGTGATGTGTTATATGCCGCCGCTACAAGGCTAAGTCTGCCCGCCGCTGCCAACAGACCGAGTTGTTCAAGAGAGGCCGTTCGCAACTACCGGCATCGACTATGCTGGTCCGTTGTACGTTCGACGTGGTGAGTCATCTCCGAAGGTATTGATAGCATTGTTTGCGTGTGCCACCACCAGAGCAGTTCAACACTGTATTACCCATGGGTACATGGACGCTGAAAAGTTATAATTCCAGACAAGAAAAGTACTTCCCGCTTTCTATGCCGGGGTTTCCAGCATAATCCGACTTCAAGTGGGTGAAGATTTGTTCCATTTATGTACAAGAAAAGATTCGAATGAGTATGATTCGGATATACCTGGGATTGGTGAATGAGTGTTTTAAATAGGTATTTTGAGGTCTAGACAATCTCCTGATGATCAAAATATATGCAGCAACTTCTTGAGAATCCAATATACTATGATGTTCTATTTCCATTTGTGTGCTTTGGATAATACGTGTATACACCCAATCACTGCTGCAGTATGCAATTGCTTGAATCACGGTCAGTGTACTGAAGATGGCACCTGCAACTGCCAGAAAGGATTCCACGGAGACAAGTGTCAGCATAGTAAGTGAAGTGAATACGCATGCTTCTTAGGGTGCGTTTGGTTAGTATGACCTAGAACAGGATTCACCAGAACAGCGTGTTTGGTTGGGACTGCACCTGTTCTGGGTCGACCAGAACATGTTCTGCTTGCTCCGGCCTCGAGGCCGGAGCAGACCGAGCAGTTTAACTTTTTCACAGTAAAACCTGGCAGGAACATCGATTTTGGTCCCAAATGATCACGTGCATACTTTTTTTGGGTTGAACTCGTTGTACCGTCACCATGGTGACCATGGTGACTCATAAACATTGTGAAGAATGAACAAAGTTTGGCACATTTTTCACAAAAAAATGTGCTCTGTTTCTGGAGTACCGTTTGGTTGGCATGAGGCTGCTCCATGTGCACCAGCTGTTCGATTCTGTTCTAGTTTGTACCAACCAAACACACCCTTTACTGTTAGTGTAACATGAGTATGTCCAATACTCAATCCCTCTCTTGAAAATTTGAAATGAGCGAGTCGTTGTTTCTCAAAAACTACTGTCAGTAGTATGACCCCCAACATGTAATATTATTTGTCCCTACTTAGCAGAATAACACAGTAGTTGCGAGTATTTCCCGAACTAGGCTGCAAGCAAGACTACAATCATGCGTACCAGGTGTACTACGTTTGGTTTTGCAAGAGTGTAGGCGTGCATTGTTTTATGTCTGGTCAATAGAATACTCGTATTCGTTCGAATAACGGCTAGTTTTCTCACATAGTACTCGAGTCGATGATTATGGCACACAGTTCACCCATACCGCTTTTTTGCTACAGATGCTGCTGTGAAATGTTAACATTTTGAATGGTCGCACTAAAATACTGCCTTTATGATCCATAATTTTCTCAAATCTAGACTGCTCATTATACTCCGAATATGCCTTGAATGTCCAAACCTTGGGTCAAGGGGGGGGGGGTGTAAATTATGCTCGGGTGCGCATTATACTCCGACAAATGGGGTATGTACTTGAAATGGACCACGGTATCCCTAGGCAGGAAGTATATATCTTGTTAAGTGTGTTGCAACTGTGCTCTACTTTATCTGAATATGTTTTGCATATGTACTGTATTCTGTTCAGCTTTCAAAACGAACTGCCTGGGAAGAGACAAGGCAGTGTACACCTGGACGGCTCTCGCCAGCTTGCCGTGTTATCCACACCTCGACGAGGGCAGCTGCCAGAACAAGACGAACTATACGAACGCCCGCCAGATGTGCAGAAGAAGAGGCTACGACTTGGTTGACTTTCATGCCTTCGCCATCCTAAAGCTTGGCGTGCGCTACTGCATGGAAGCATTGCTCAACGAGATGATAGCGAGCAGTTACAGCAGCCCTATCACAATATGGACATCGTTCAAGAGGAAAGACCAGTATACCATTTACAAGCAGGGCAAGAACGACTTAAGAGAAGAATTACATGATAGACATGGAACAAGCCATCATGATGTCATCTGCGAAGGTAGGCCATTGCATTGTGATCAAAGAAACGTGTGAGAGAGATGCTGAGTAGCCAGCAATGAATGGATAGGGTCGAAAATGATTTTGAAGAGATTAGAGGACTGAAACAGAGAGGCGGCAGCAATAGTGAGTGCAATCTGGGTTTCCCACTGTAGGCCTGCAGATATTGCCCGATATCTGTACCTGGTTATGTTAAGGGGGTAAAAATATACCGCTGACCTTTATATTTGATAGGGTTTTATTGAGCACGGCATAAAATAATAGATTTTGGGTCACTCTTTATTCAGATTTATTGCATTATTTTTATTGTACATCTTCTCTACCCAAGACTGTATGTGACCTTGTCTTGCAGCCAAGTGGGTCCACATCAACGACTCAGTATACGCCGCTGCAACACCAGCACTCACAACCAATATCACTGAGCAGTTTGCAGAGGAGGCATGTCGGCAGTACGGACTTCACCTCATAACCGAGGACTGGCTGCAAACACATCACAGTGTATTATTTCGAGAGCCCTGGCTAAAGAAGTTGGCTATTCTTCATAAGCCTCGGAACGCACCTTTCCACGTGAAACCAATCCGGGTGAACGGCCGCTCCCTTTACAGAACCGTAACATTTAGACAGCCAAACAGTCTGATGTATCAAAACACCACAAGCACTATGCGTGCCCGAATCCTCTGTGTCAGTAAGTGAGAGGATAATAATATCCAGTGCCAACATGTCCTGTTCCAACCTGTCCTATCCCAATATGTCCTGTTCACCAACATGTCCCGTCTCAACATGTCCTGTTCACCAACATGTCCTGTTCACCAACATGTTCTGTCTCAACATGTCCTGTGCATCAAACTGCCCTGTCCCAACATGTCCTTGCAGCACAGTTAGTGCTGTTACTCTCTCCCCCTGGCCCCCCGCATATCATTGCATTTATGGCGCATGCCCCGGATTGATTGTACTTGTACCTAACAAAGAAACCTACTTTGACTGTCATCTTTTGTTGGAGCATGTAATTAGTCAAGTACAGAAAGAATACTGTTCCATAAGGTCACATAGCAATTTGGCGACGAAGATGTCTCTGACGAAGTTTGCCTTTTTTGGATTAGGCTGTGTTTACATGAGGCGTTTCAACCCGCGTTGAGTTCGACCCGGTTCAGATTTCAACCCGCCATGTGCACACAATGAATGGCGCGTTTACATGACGCATTGCGCTTGACCAGGGTTGAAATTTCGCCCCGGGTTGATTTCAACCTGGGTCAACGATATCGTACTACGTACTTCTGTGCGTATCTCGTGCCAGGTTTGAACAGCACTGCACATGCAAATTCCGTGGGGAAAGGACTCACGTGACCATACAGGACACTAGAAGTGGAATTTTGGCGGCATATCAGTATTTGACCCGGGTCAACTGTCTTCATGTAGACGCTCACCTATTTTGTCTATCGTACAGACTTTCAATCCGGGCTGAACTCGACACGGGTTGAAATTTCTCATGTAAACACAGCCTTAGCCATCATTTTGGGTTTTCCACATTCTATTGTCAGATTCTGTAAGAGTGCAGTGCAATTGACTTTTTGCCTTCTTTTTTTGCACAGAGTTCTGTGAGAACGGTGTTCTTGCGCCAAACCTGATGACTTGTATGTGTAACCGTACCACATCATACGGAGAATATTGTGAAAAGGGTAAGACAGCCAGTCGTTAAGTTCTTGTGTGTGTGTGTGTGTGTGTGTGTGTGTGTGTGTGTGTGTGTGTGTGTGTGTGTGTGTGTGTGTGTGTGTGTGTGTGATGCTGTGAAGTCGGCTGCCGTCGATGTGGCTGGGGAGGTGGTTGGCCGAGACAAGCGGCATGTACTGGACTCGTTTTGTGATAGTGCCCCGGCACTGGAGCCCCTACTAGCATCACGTAATCGGCTATACGACCTGTGGCTCAGAACTGGCCATCATAATGACCACAGGGCTTTCAAGGAGGCTCGTGGCCAGGCTCGGGCTGGTATAAGGCAGGCAAAGACCACCTGGTTAATGAAAAAGCGGCGGTGTTGCAACGGGGACGTTTCAGCGGCAATCATGTGTGGTCTGCCATCCGAGATATGCAGCGCTGTTTTGGTGGGCTGAAGCCAATATCTGTACAGGCTATCCGCAACACTCGGGGAGACGTCTGTGGATCTGTGCAAGAGCTGAGGGGCACATGGCACAGGCATTTCTCAGGTGCTTTGAATGTCTGCATTACTTACGATGCAGAGGTATTCCAGCAAATTCCCCAGCGGGAGATCATGCCCTCGCTAACGCAGCCACTGTCGGGAGAGGAGTTGACCCATTCTCTGAGACATCTGAAGAACGGCAAGGCTGGTGGCATGTCCCAGATCGTGCCCGAACTGTTGAAGGTCGGTGTGCCCGTCCTCCACCCGCTCCTTCTTGACCTGCTTCAATCTGTCTGGTCGGAGGGTTACGTACCGCATGACTGGCGTGATGCAGTGCTCATCCCCATACGAGGGCGACCTCGATGCGACAACTGGCGAGGAATTGCATTGCTGGAGGTTGTGGGAAAGCTAGCTGCTAGGGTTGTGCAGAATCGGGTGCAAGTGCTCTCTGAGGATGAGCTACCGGAGTTGCAGTGTGGGTTCCTGCGAAACCGTGGTTGTGCTGATGCCATCTTCTCTGTCCGCCAACTGATAGAGAAATCATATGAGCATCGATCGAAGCTGTTTTGTGTCTTTGTGGACCTCCGCGAAGCATACGACTCTGTGCCTCGTGAGGCTCTGTGGCAGGCATTGCTTCGGCTCGGTGGGCCCCCTCAGGCTGTGGCTCTCGTGAAGTCGTGCCATATGGACATACGGCATCTGTTTGTGTTGCTGGTGGTTGTACCGATCCGATCTCTGTAAAAAATGGTTTGCGGCAGGGGTGTGTCATGGCTCCTGTGCTGTTGAACCTGTATTTCGGATTGGTGATGGAGCGCGGCAAAGGTCTGTTCTCAGGGAGCGCGGCATTGAGTCTGGTATGGATTTCAGCTTCTTTATTGATGGGCAATTGTTTCCCCGTGCAGCTGGGCGACGTTGACAGTCTCACACTGGTCATGCTGATGATTTTGAGTTTACCGATGACGGCGTCCTACTCGCAACAACTCGTGCTGCAGCCGAGCTCTCCCTATCCGCCTTCCGTGATGTGGCATCCAACTTTGGCCTCACGGTCAGCATGACGAAGACTAAGCTACTGGTCGCAGGTGATGGAGTCGCCGCCACTAATTGTTCCGGTCTGGCAGTTGGCAATGAAAGGGTTGAAGCTGTTACCTCCTTCCCCTATCTTGGATCTGTCATAACTAAGGATTCGCGAGCTCATGCCGATGTCCAGAGCCGCTTTGCGAAGGGTGCAAGGGCCTTTGGCTGTCTTCGGCGGATTTTGCATGATCAGAGCCTGAACCTGCCTACTCGACGGCATTTGTACGTGGGGTGTGTTCTCACCACAGTTTGTATGGCTCAGAGTGTTGGACCCCATTGAAGTCGGATTTGAACAAGCTGGACAGGTTCCATCACGCCAACCTACGGTCAATCCTTGGCATTTCGCGCGGCCGCCAGTGGGAGCAACACATCACATCGGAGCAGCTACGCGCACAGTGTGGTGACCCTACTCCACTGTCGTGCATGGTACAGCAGAGACGCTTGGAGTGGCTTGGGCACCTAGCTCGGCTTGATAACAATCGGTTACCCAAGCAGTTGCTCTTCACTCATCTGCCACGAACCCGCCCGTTTTGCGGCCCCCGACATCGCTGGAAGGGCGCTGTCTGGCCTGATCTGACTGTGGCCGGTGTGCACAATTGGTTCGAATCGGCCAACGATCGCGGAGAGTGGCGTGATATTGTGTCGGCAGCAGCGGGGGTGAAGGAGCCTGCCCCGAAGGCAATTGTGTGCCACGTTTGCGACCGCCTGTTTCGTCGTCGCGCTGACATGGCCCGGCACAAGTGCACAGCAGTCCAAAAGCTCCCCGTACCACAACAGCCTGGGTGAGTGCAGTGTCCTGCCTGCAGTGGATGGCTCCGGAGCAGCGGTGGGCTTGCAGTGCGTAAGTGTCAAGAGAGTGACAACTGTGATGACCGACCGCCAAGTGGTGCTCCTTCTGTTGCCGAGGTCCCGGTATGTACAGCCTGACAGCGTACTTTTAAGTCTACTGCTGGCCTCAAGCGCCATCGCTGTGGACCCCGCCCGAATCGCCCTACAGTGACTGATCGCCAGCACTTTGAACATCATTGCCGAGTCTGTAATCGACGCCAGTGTCGGAGGCGACAGGACCTGGAGCGCCATTTGAAGCACTGCCTACCTCTTCCCTAACCTCTCTGACAGTACCTCCCTTCGGGAGCGCCGTGGCCATTTCTGGCAGCTGTCAATAGTAGTGTGTGTGTGTGTGTGTGTGTGTGTGTGTGTGTGTGTGTGCGTTTCCCGTAAGTGCATGTGGGAAATTCTCCGGAAGGCGGGCGTACCTGACAAGCTGGTTACCATTATCAGCTCATTTCATACCTCTATGTCTGCAAACCTGTCGATCCCGGGCATCGAGGCCGAGCCTATTGACGTGCAAAATGGCCTTCGACAAGGTTGTTGTATGGCCCCAGTATTGTTCAATATATTCATGTGGGCAGTATTCCAGCTGTGGCAGCGTGAGGTTGCGGACATGCCTGAGATTGGACTTCCTGTCTCCTCTAACTCTGGACCGTCTCTCCTTTTCAAACGCCAGAAGACTGACACAATCAACATCCATCGTGACTGTCACTTCGCAGACGATTCGGCACTTATTGCTACAACTCGCCATGGTGCCACACTTGCGCTCAGCCGGTTCATGGACGTCGCAACTCGCTGCGGCCGACTATGTAATGCGTGCGGGAGATGGTTCTTGAGTGCTGGCGGGCTAGCTTCGCATAAGTGTCTCTCCAACTCGGTTGCTGAAGTGGCGTCGGTCTCGGCTGTGGCATCGGCAGACTCGGTCCGGAAACAGCGGGTTGCCCTGCCCTGCTGCAGAGCGCATTGTCTCGGCTGCGGTCGCTGCTGCAAGTCATCCCGTGGTTTGGACCTGCATAGCTGTGCTAATTTCCTGTCCAGCAAGTAGAGCGGCGTTTCTGGATCCAATGCTGAACTCAGTGCTGTCGACCCCTGCCCAGGGGACACGTGACCATTTGATGGCAGTGTTACCATGGACCAAGGTGTGCGTTTGTGTGTGTGTTTGCGGTTGTGTGTGTGCGTTTTTGTATGTGTGTTTATGTGTGTGTGTGTGTTTGTGTGTGTGTTTGCGTTTGTGTGTGTGCGTTTGTGTGTGTGTGTGTGTGTGTGTGTGTGTGTGTGTGTGTGTGTGTGTGTGTGTGTGTGTGTGTGTGCGTGTGTGTGCGTGTGTGTGTGTGTGTGTGCGCTTGTGTGTGTGCGTTTGTGTGTGTGTGTGTGTGTGTGTGTGTGTGTGTGTGTGTATGCGTGTGTGTGTGTGTGTGAGCACGCGCGTGTTTAAAAATCTGGGAGCACTCACTTTAGAGAAGGGAAAGTACACTAACCAGACAGCAGGGAAACAGCAGAGATCTGATAGATATAACCAGTCCTAATAGCTAGATGGAGTGTGTTTTGGCTGGTGTGTGTGTCTGCTGCCATTTGACACACCACATAATGTATTTCATTGAGAATCCTTACAATAAAATCAGAACTTGAAAAGCTACCGTATCAGAAGCCCCCTCTTTAATTATACCCCCCCCCCCCCCTTCCTCCCTGCAATGACCGTTTGAAATAAAGCGAAGCCTCTCCAACAGAAATGAGAACCACTTTTCACGAAGCATGGTCAGAGGCCAGGCATTGCCATGTTCGATATGATCAAATGTATACAGAACATCACTTGCATGTACTGTAAATGTTCTGTTGTGGACATTGAAATCCTATGAGATGACTGTGGCCGGCGCCCTTGCTGCTTTTAGTGCGTACACGTACTGTAGTTTGCGCACACACTGTTTAGAATGGACCAGCAGTGCTCACGGCTGCAAGTTCAGTGCCCCCGTGGCCGCTTGACTTCCCAGCAGATTTCAATCTCCGCTACAGTATATATCCAGGTGCACACTGTTCGTACAAACTGATCCCAGGCCAAGTTGCTTTGAAAATCTAAAGTTTAGGTTTGAATAACAGTATGCAGTGGAACAATAAATGGTAGTTTCCTTGCCCAATGCAGAAGCAACTTTCCATATGTAGAGTGTAAACTCGCCCGCTAACGTAAAGTTGCTCAGAGCGGACCAATATTTTATAAAGTGTTCCTACATGCTCAAATCAATCTCTCCAATGTCACTCAAATATTGACCTGGAAACTTTGTGTGGTCAAATTTCTGTATTTCCACTGCTCGTTGCCGCTAACATCCCATGCATTATCTCTGTGTCACGTCTTGGTTGTGCGTTTGTGATGGCTGCTGCAGAGTGCAAGTGTTTGAACCAGGGTCAGTGTGACGACAAGGGTAAATGCATCTGCCCGAAGCGATTCACAGGAAGCCATTGCCAAGAAGGTACGTACAACTGGAGCTTGTACGCGCTACGCTTGCGGTTCATGCGTCCCCAAACGCGCGCTCAAGCTTTCACAAAGAACAGCAATCCGAGTCGTATTTAGCGCGTTCGACAACTTCGAGTACTAATTTGTTGACCCCGCCAGTCAATGTGACTGGCATGTACGCTAATACAGGTCCTCCCTCATTATAACGAGTCCATTTAGTACATAAATCCCGTTAGTAAATAGAAATCTGAAATCCCCTGGCGAAACGTGGTCTATACAACTGTTTACAGGTCCGGTTACAACATAATCCGTTAGTACATAAAATCCGTTATAACGACCCTTTGCCCAGGTCCCTGGATTGCCAAACCCTCAGTATAAGATAGTATCACTCCCTTAGTGTTGACTCACATAGATTTTTGCCATACCTAAGCAGTCAAATATTCCTGCATATTTCACTCCTTAGGGCTATATTGACTGCTTATATTTGACTGCTTAGGGGTTGCGCAGTTGAACGGTGCCTAGTGCAGCATTGTCACTGCATGAGTAGGTTGTGCAATCATAAAACCGGGATTCATGAGGTTATCGTTCTGGAATTTGAAATACGGACTGTTTGTCGTGATAAATCTAATATTGACTTCGTACTTGGTCAGTATAGGAAATAGAACCTCGTAAAAGACCTCGGCATCGCCTTGGTCTTTTACTCGGCTTTTATTTCCTATATTGACCTCGTACTCAGTCAATATTAGATGCATATTGACCATGCAGGACTAAGGCCAAAATACGTAGTATAAAGCAGGAAGAGGAAATACTTATGTATTCGTGAATATGGACGATCCTTTGCATCCAAGGAAGAGTTCTGTTGGAGATTTTCAATTATCTTATAATGAGTTCAAGAGTACATAAACTTTGCCAGAGTGTGCAACTCGGGATGGTTCCTGTGGGAGCGTAATTCGTACAGTACGTCATTTCTGACGGCATGGTAAGCCACAGGTACTGTGAAAAGTTGCGTAACCAGTCGCAGTGCTGCAGGTCACCGGGTTGTCCTGATTTCGGTTTTTGATACGGATAGCCTGGTGAATTTACTTGTCGGTGGATGTACACAGTCACACAAAACACCGAAATCCTGAAACAGGACGTCTAAAATCAAGCAAACTTGGCTGATTTTCAGGCTATGAAACATGAAAATTTGAGCTGTACGCAAGTCGCGGCTTGGCTGACCTCATCAGGGTGACGTAGTGCACGAACTGCGCTGTTTCAGATCTGATATGCACAGTTGCACACTCTGGTTTATGTACTCTTGACGAGTTGAAGCATCGATAACTTATGTTGTATCGAGGGTAGCCCCGGTAAGTAGTGCCTATTTCACCTTTAGCTGCACGCTTTCATGAGAAATCACACCTTGACATTTACTGCTGTTATTGTTTCCCCCTGATTTTACCTTGCTTGCTGTATTGTTTCATTTGTTCTTTGGTGCAACGTTGATTTCCTACTTGTAGTAGGAGCGTTGTGGTTCGAATCACTCTTTTTTCAATCGCCTTTTCGTCATACATGTACACGTATTTCTCCTTTCCTTTTTAGACTGTTTTCGCGTTGTATCCATCGCTTGGCACTGCTTAGTAAAGTAATCCAATGTCACTGAAGAGGTTAATTAGTTGTTACAAACCACCAGTTCTCAAGTGGGAAAACCTTCGCGCTAATGACATTGTATTCATTGCAGTGTTGTATCTCGACTCTGCCGTACCGCTGTTGTTTGCTGCAAGGCATACGTTATAATATTATGCGCTGTGTGCGGCATTTACTGTGTACGCTGTTATGTCCTGTTTTATATGCGTATGTTTTTGAATGTTCGCTGACTTTTGCATGCTATAAATAGCTGGTGTTATTAATCTTAGTTGTTGAGAAATATACTGTTGGAGAGTAAATAGTTGTCCTCGTGCCGCGTGGTCGTTTGATCCTGACATTTAAAAGAATCTCAGAGGGTTCACAACATTTGGCGACCACGCCAGGATTGAAGCGAGCATGGCAGAGCAACAAAGTAATTTGGAAGCCAGATTTATCGCTAATGGAATTCGGTTAGGATTGGTTGGCGATGCGTTGAGGGAACATTTGGAGCAGAGGCTCCGACAGTATGAGGAGCATGAGGAGCGTAGTGCCAGAAGGCGAGAGGAGGCGTTCCGCACTGAGTTTGAAAAACGCTCAAGGAGGTTAACGAGCGCATTGCCAAGGCGTGTGAGGGTTAGGTTGAAGCTGCCAGTGAGAGTGCGATGGGAGGTACAGCGGAAGCTCCCAGTCACAGCGGTGGACGTAAGCCGTTGATGAAAATCCCCTCATATTATGGAACGCAGCCATTGGAGCGTTATCTTGACCTGTTCGAGGACATATGTTCCAAGAACGAGTTCGAAAAAAGCGAATGGCTGCTGCGATTGCGCATCGCCCTAGCGGGTAGCAAAGCGGAGAGGATATGTATTGGATGCAATAATTACGAGGAAGCAAAGCAAGAGTTGCTTGCCTCGCTCGGAAAGTCGCCGGATAAAGAGTGGAAGACAGTGCTGACAGGCGAGCAGCGATCAGAGGAGTCTTTTCACCAATACGTTGTCCGTGTTTGCCGAGAGGTAGAGGTGTGGGCCACACTCGCTAAGACGGAAGATAGCGAAGATGGACATCAAGTATAGCGCCTACATCGGTAAAATGGCCCCTGTGCTGCAAGCAATGGCAACTAATTCTTCCAAGTTGCTTCACGTTATGATCTTGTATTTGAAAGCCCTATTTGAATATTGTGGCCAGCCGTCCTTTAAGGTACGGTACGGTACGGGACAGGTACGGTGCGGGATAGCGCCAGACGGAGGTCCGTCCGCCACAGACAAACACCAAAGCAAAGCTGTGTGGACCCTGGCTAGCGTCAGACGTTACTAAAGTAACATCTTCTGCATAGCTACCGTAATTAAAATTATGGTATTATCTTGTTACAGTCCTGGACATTTGCTTCATAACTCGTTTCCAAGTGATTTCCCTGGGGTAACCCTTTCGTATTCGTTCATCTCTAGTTGCTGCCAAAAGCAATAATTGCTGTGCCATTGTGATCACGTGTGCCAGTAATGACTGTTATTTGTTTGTGTCCTGTCTGATTTTTCCATTGCAGTTGTTACATGCGCTACTCCATTAGCGCCTACTTTTGGCAGTTTCTCTCTACCGGCTGGTGTATCAAGCTTTGTCTATAATACAGTGGGAACATTTGTCTGCAATCCCGGCCATCGCCTTGTCGGCGATGCCACCACACAGTGTTTAGCCCATGGTGATGTCAGCAGCACACCGCCCATTTGCCAGAACGTCAACGAGTGTAATAATCCCACATTGCATACATGCGATCAAAACGCGTTGTGTAGTGATGTGATTGGCACGTTCACCTGCAAGTGTTTGGTGGGATACATTGGCGATGGCAAACGTGGAAACTGCCAGAGTTAGTACCAATAGTAAAGTCGGTGGATATTTCCACTTGATGATGGTGTGCAGTGTTTGCAAACCAAACCATTTCCTGTTTTCTTGTGTGGTATTGAAAGCTGCTCAGAGTTCCTTTTTGTGTTTGTTCGTTCTTTGCCGCATTCTCTGCTGCTTCTGCCATAACACCCCTCTGTCCGCTGAAATGATCTGTGCAGCAGCAGTTTGCATGATTGATCTGTGCACATGTTCTGCTGGTTTCAGAATTTGGACAAGTATAGATTATACCAGAGTTTGTAGAATCAATCGACAGCGACACGGGTGTTTATAATCTCGAGAAAAGATCAAATTGTTTTCACAGCAATTGAGATTGAGGCTATTAGAGCTGTCTGATGAATTTGAATTGTTTTTGTTGTCCCTATAATATGACGCTGGCCATGGTTACATGCAGTATGTAATCAGTTAGTAACCCCTTGCATTCTGCTCACATACTGGTGTTCAGACATTGATGAATGTTTGCCGGCTAGCCCATGCCATGTGGATGCTAGCTGCATTGATAATGATGGCGGATACATGTGTCTGTGCAAGTCAGGTTACCACGGAAATGGAATTCAATGTCAAGGTCAGTCAGCAATTTGTAATGAGTACAGAGGTGTCGGCACAGTCAAATTGTTCGGGATGTGGAAACTCCAAAGTTATGCTCATTGCGCCAATTTCCAGAGACCAATTTTGTTGGCAGCACTTAACATGTAGCTGATAGAGGCCTGTCATTGTCATGCGTTACGGAGCGTCTTTATATTTTCCGGCTAGGTACTCAAGATCCAGCTGTTAGCCTGTGTGTTTGCATCTAGTCCTGCATCTATCAGGGTGTGTTTAGAGAATGTTTACAGTCTACTCATGCCAATTAAAACCATGCAAAAGCATTCAGGTACCTAGGATGGGGTCCCGGCTTCAGACCAGCAATGTTCTTGTTTTCCAGATTTCAGCTTCTTGTCCTTATTGTATTCCGCTAGTGTCCGAGAGTAGATGTGAACTGTACAAAGTAACTTTACATGAAACCCCGGTATTCCTGAGTTTAGTGTTCAGCCTGTTTCATTACAAAAATTGTAATCTTTTTGTTCTTGAAGAGGAAGGTTTTTGAGCTGATGAGCTTGTTACCAACTCTCGGCAAAACACTGAAAGCTATTTTTTGCTTTTTGCCGTCGTCAGGTGAAAGTTCAAGCTAGGCAAAGGAGAGTTGTTCTTCGGCACTCAATGTTACTGTACTTAATGAGTACTTTCTCACCTAGTCGCAGATGCAGAGAAGTAGTTGCTGCCACAGGAAGGGAGAAAGGTTTTTCTGCAGCGAGAGAGACTCTGCTGGATCTGCCTCAAGTATGGCCGTGTGGCAAGGGACTATCGGTCAGGCTCGAGGTGCACAAAATGCCAGGGGAAGCACCATCTGCTAATAAATGATGTGTTGGAAGGAGCAGGTTACAGCCAGGATCTTGAGCTGATCAAGCAAGGTCAACCATTGAAGCCTGGGTCGAAGGTGTATCATCTTGCACCGTTTCTGGATGAGCATGGGGTGCTCAGAGCCGGGGGACTACTCCACTACAGCGAGTTGGCGTATGGAGCCAAGCACCCAGTTCTAATAGGCAAACAATCTGACCGAGTAGCTTTTTTGGAGAAAACGCATGTCGAACGCATGTACCAAGGTGTAGAAGGGGTCTTGTTGTACATCCGTCAGAAATTCTGGATTATCGGCGGTCGACGAACGCTACGCAACATTACTCAGTGATGTGTTATATGCCGCCGCTACAAGGCTAAGGCTGCCTCAAAAGTCTGCCCGCCGCTGCCAACAGACCGAGTTGTTCACGAGAAGCCGTTCGCAACTACCGGCATCGACTGTGCTGGTTCGTTGTACGTTCGATGTGGTGAGTCATCTCCGAAGGTATTGATAGCATTGCTTGTGTGTGCCACCACCAGAGCAGTTCAACACAATAAGACCCATGGGTACATGGACGCTGGAAAGTTATAATTCCAGACAAGAAAAGTACTTCCCAGTTTCTATGCCGGGGTTTCCAGCATAATCCGACTTCAAGTGGGTGAAAATTTGTTCCATTTATGTACAAGAAAAGATTCGAATGAGTATGATTCGGATATACCTGGGATTGGTGAATGAGTGTTTTAAATAGGTATTTTGAGGTCTAGACAATCTCCTGATGATCAAAATATATGCAGCAACTTCTTGAGAATCCAATATGCTATGATGTTCTGATGTGCATTTGTGTGCTTTCGATAATACGTGTATACACCCAATCACTGCTGCAGCATGCAATTGCTTGAATCACGGTCAGTGTACTGAAGATGGCACCTGCAACTGCCGGAAAGGATTCCACGGAGACAAGTGCCAGCATAGTAAGTGAAGTGAATACGCATGCTTCTTAGGGCGCGTTTGGTTGGTATGAAGTAGAACAGGATTCACCAGAACAGCGTGTTTGGTTGGGACTGCACCTGTTCTGGGTCGACCAGAACATGTTCTGCTTGCTCCGGCCTCGAGGCGGAGCAGACAATAGCAGCTTCACTCTTTCACAGTAAAACCTGGCAGGAACATCGATTTTGGTCCCAAATGATCACGTGCATACGTTTTTTGGGGTTGAACTCGTTGTACTGTACAAATTGACCATGGTGACCCATCAAAATTTTGAAGAATGCACCAAGTTTGGCACATTTTTCACAAAAATGTGCTCTGTTTCTTGAGTACCGTTTGGTTGGCATGAGGCTACTCCATGTGCTTCAGCTGTTCGATCCTGTTCTAGTTTGTACCAACCAAACACACCCTTTCCTGTTAGTGTAACATGAGTATGTCCAATACTCAATCCCTCTCTTGAAAATCTGAAATGAGCGAGTCGTTGTTTCTCAAAAACTACTGTCAGTAGTATGACCCCCAACATGTAATATTATTTGTCCCTACTTAGCAGAATAACACAGTAGTTGTGAGTATTTCCCGAACCAGGCTGCAAGCAAGACTACAATCATGCGTACCAGGTGTACTACGTTTGGTTTTGCAAGAGTGTAGGCGTGCATTGTTTTATGTCTGGTCAATAGAATACTCGTATTCAGACGAATGCTCGCTAGTTTTCTCAAATTATACTCGAGTCGATGATTATGGCACACAGTTCAACCATACTGTTGCGGATTTCTGTTCGACTAAGATTTACGAATGTTGTTGTATTTGGTTCTTGTCTGGTGGAGTCCAGTGTCTGATGTCATATTTGGTCTAAGTGTACGCGCGAGCATGGTGTAATGTGTGACGTTTATGGTATGTGATGCATGCAAGAGTACGCGACTCCAACGTTATGCTCATCGCGCCAATTTCCAGAGACCAATTGTGTTTGCAGCACTTTACATGTAGCTGATAGAGGCCTGCCATTGTCATGCGTTACGGAGCGTCTTTATATTTTCCGGCTAGGTACTTGTGATGTCTACCTTCACAGTCATGCACAAACACTCAAGGACACAGGTTGAGGTTTGGAAGAATACAATTAGATACAAGTGTGAAGAAGACAGGTAAGAACAGACAACCAGGTCAAGCCAAGCATGCACTTCAGGCGACTAGTCCAAAATGGCGCATGCTGGTTGTGACGTAATACACAGGCAAAATATATGACGTAATCGTCACGTGATAAGACATGAGCATCATATCACATCAGTACTCAAGATCCAGCTGTTAGCCTGTGTTATTTTTCATCTAGTCCTGCATCTATCAGGGTGTGTTTAGAGTATGTTTACAGTCTACTCATGCCAATTAAAACCATGCAATAGCATTCAGGTACCTAGGATGGGGTCCCGGCTTCAGACCAGCAATGTTCTTCTTTTCCAGATTTCAGCTTCTTGTTCTTATTGTATTCCGCTAGTGTCCGAGAGTAGATGTGAACTGTACCGCTGTCACGGGCTTGACAGTCAAGGTCCAGTGGATCAGCAGTCAGCAGAACAAGGCGGATCAATTGACCCGTGTTCCCAGCAGCTGGATCCGATGTGGCAAGACGCTCCTTGCTCGGAGTGCACCGTCCGTCACCGCTGGGGTGGTGACCGTTGGTCCATTCTCATTGGAGAGAGTATCTGCTGCTCAGAATGCAGATCCTCGGATTGTTGCAACTCGCCAGCAAGTCATCGATGGTGATCCAGTTACTGATCCTGCGTTTGTCAAGGTCAAGTCACAGCTCGTAGTCCATGATGGTATGCTGTGTCGAAGTGTGAAGTTGCTGCCCAATGATGCAGTCGTCATTCCTGTTATTCCTAGTTCACTCGAGTCCGATGTCGTTCGTGCTGCTCATGTGAACTGTGGTCATGCGTCTTGGGAGGGTACATGGCGCTTCCTCCGCTCGAAGTGCTATTTCCCGAACATGGCTGCCCAAAGTCAGCAGTTTGTGCGCCACTGTTTGCCGTGTGCTGCTGCCAGCCCAACCAAGGGCGTTTCGGCGGATGCCAGTCGCCCTGTGGTGGCTGATGGCCATGGAGTGTTGTAGTAATAGATACTCTGGAACTGGGCGTCGATCAGAGTGGAGAGTACCATTGTGTTCTCGTCTGCATGGATACTTTCACCAAGTGGGTGGAAGTGGTTCCGCTCCGTCAACATGACGCGGCATCAGTGGCCGAGGCATTTTTCGCCTGTGTACGCGGTGGGGCCCACCCCGAGTGGTCCACTGTGATAATGGCACGGAATTCATCAACGCCGTGATGTCATCCCTGTTTGACACGTTTGGTGTGACAGTGCTCAACGGTGCCGTGCGTCATCCCCTATTACAGGGATCTGTTGAGCGATTTACCCGCACTCTCCTCACCTTAATTTGGAAGGTGTTGGATGAGGCTGATGATTGGCGATCTCAGCTGGACGTGTTACTGTATTTCGACCGTATTCGTCCGCACTCTGTCCTCAAGATTTCTCCTATGCGTGCGATGCTTGGCTGGGAGCCCACCAGTGTACTCTTCTCGGCTACTCCTGGGCTGGGCCTGACTCCATCTGATCTTGAACGCCAGGCTGCTCGGATCCGTGATTTTGTGGAAGCTGAGCTGTCCTCCAAGGCCTTTGTTGAGTCTGAAGCTGATAACTGTCTGTTCGCCGTTGGTGATGCCGTTCTTCTACGTCGTGAAGTAGAGCAACCCTCTTGCGCATGTTGTACGTATTGTAATGATTGATACGTACTTTCGATATTGATTTCGCTGGTGCACATGTTGGTGCAGCGCTGGTGCACTCGACGGTGCACGCGCTGATGCACGCGATGGTGCAGCCAGTTGTTTTGCGTTGTACGTGATGCAGCTTGTTGAGGAGAAGGGTTTTCAATATATTGTGTTCAGTTCTTCTTGCTTCTGGCCTGGTCGAGTTCGTGCTTTTTTCTTCTGTACACTTCTTGTGCATTTTGGAATTGAAATTAATAATTATAGTCCAACTTATACCCTTGCACTGGTCTGGTGGTGGATAATTCCACAAAACTCTCGTTTTGTCTGTCCATTTTTGTGTATGGCTGATCTGCCCTTTCATTTTGTCTTCTCTGTGTGTGATATGTAATGCAGTTGTGTGCACAAATCCCTGGGTGAAAAAGAACAAAGCATGTGAATGTAAACCGAGACCAGACGGACCCATCTGCACAGAAGGTAAGGGCTAAAGAAAGCTGCTGTCATTTTAGCCCGCGTGTCAAAGAACATATGACCCATGCATACCCGCGTGCTGGACTGTTGTATTTGAAGACAAGAAAAAGCACTTCCCAGCGTGTATGCCTGGTTCTCCAGCTTATTAGCTGAACGTGTGTTCTATTCAAGTGCAAGGCATGATTATAAGTTGGATATACCTGGGATTGGTGAATGGGTGTTAGTGTTAGTGTTTGTGGCGATGTTGAGGTCTATACAATGCCATGATGATCAAGATACATGCGACAACGACTTGAGAATCCAATAGGTTATTCAAGTTCTATCCCTATTTGTGTGTTTTGGGAAATACGTGAATGCACCCAATCTCTACTGCAGTGTGCAATTGCTTGAATGATGGTCAGTGTACTGAAGACGGCACCTGCAACTGCCGGAAAGGTTTCCATGGAGACCAGTGTCAACATGGTAAGTAACTGCTAAATGAAGTGAATACTCGTGTTTCTTTGATTCACATGCTCCTGGGAATTGTGACCATATATGTGCATGCATACATCAACAATTATTCATAAGTTATGAATCGGGTCGGAACCAAATTTGGGTTCCGAACCGATTCATACCTGTGTTTTACCACCCCCCTCCTTTCGGACACAGGAAGCTAGTGCTTGAAGACAGCATGCCTTTCTGGAGACCATGCTCGAGATCTCTCTGACTTCCTAAGAGGCGGTTTACATGACGGCAGTGCATCCCGCCGGGAAGAGAAGCACGTGATCCCGAGACCTTGCAAAACAGACCACGGAATGTCACGACATGCATTTCCAACCACCGCCCCCCTCCCCCCAGCCCCCTCATGGCGCCGGGACCGTACCGGGATAGCCGGCGGGATACGTTCGCGCCAAAATATGAGCACATGTGACTAAATCTCCATGGTAGCATCAGGCACGGGATGAATCCTGCCGTCGTGTAAATCACCTCTAAAGCACTTGATTGTTACAGAAATTGTCTCAAGTGCCAAAAGAAGTGCCTCGGAAGTTTGATTATTGGTATACCCCCCCCCCCCGCCCCTCCTTCCCTCACTATCTATGAATTAACCATGGCTCAGCTCTCCAAACCCGGTGCAAAGACGGTCACCACGAAATTATTCAATAGCCTGCTTGCATATACGCCTAATCAGAGTAACGTTACTCAAGTAGATAATCAAGCGAGATACGGAGGGCTTGATGGCTGATCGAAGCCCAAGGGACTAGCCCGAGGGCTTTGATCAGTCATCGATCCCGACTTTACCTCGCTTGAATATGCTTCAGACAATCCCCAACCAATATTTTATCGGAAATAACATGCATCTTAACCTCTCTATTATTTGAACTGGATTCCGGTATCCATCTGAGAAAGTCGGTGTACGTCGTGTTAGAGTGTGCTGCATTTGCGTTCTACTTCGCCTGACTGTGTCTTGCATGTGTACTGTGTTATGTTCAGCTTTCAAGACAAAGTGCCTGGGTACAGATAAGGCAATGTACACCTGGATGGCTCTTGCCAGCTTGCCATGTTATCCACAACTCGACTATGGCAGCTGCCAGAAGAAAACGAACTTCGTGCACGCCCGCGAGATGTGCGTGAGAAGAGGATACAACGTCGTAGACTATAATTCCTTCACTAAGCTTGGCTTGAAGCTGGGTGTTAGCGACTGCATAAAATCATTGCTGAGCGAGATGATGGCTAGACGTAACAGCAGTTACAGCACCCCTCTCAAGATATGGACATCGGAAATGTACTTTGGTCAACATCTTATTTACAAGCAAGGCAAGGACAACTCGAGCGACGCACTATTTGACGGGGATGGAAGAGGCAATCATGATGTCATCTGTGAAGGTAGGCTGTTGCGTTTTAACCCATTTAAGGCTATAGGCCATGGCACCCAGGCTCTGCACTTCCTATTTGTCAATGAAAAATATGTATAATCTATACCGGTATATACCATACTTCCCCACATATATGCCCATGGGCTTATAAGTGAAAATTTGCTGCAAAAAAGAAGTTTTTGCTGTGTGAACATGCCCGGGTAGAAGCCCATACGCTTATATGTGCAATAAAGGTTTGTCTGTGTTCTAAACAACGGTGTTATCACAATGCTTAGCAGTATATTCAGCTCCCGGGTGTTTCACCAATAGTGTTGACATTATAAGCGCATTAGGAAACCAGAGGCCACATGCCACGTACTGCTCTCTCCGAAACTCAACACTTGCAAGCCAGATATGAAAGAAAGAAAAAATCATCAGTCACGCCACCGGGACTCGAACCAGGGACCTTGCTATTCGCGAGCAATGCTCTAACCAACTGAGCTACAGTATGACTCTTATCCACAGTGATGGTCAGTCTATCCTTCTTCGATCAATCCATATCTGGTACTCCGAGTTTCTTGAGTTTTTTTCAATCGTCAGGCAACTTTTCTAATTCTCTATATATAGTTAGGAACCTTGGGAGCAACCACTCATATATATACGTCCTCAGCCCCTGGGCATCATTTTCAATGATGTATATATATATATAGCGGTTAGTGGGTTAAAGGGTGTGTCCAGTGATAGTAGTGGGACAGGAGGAATGAAACAGAGACGGCGGGAGTAGTGAATGCAACCGAGGTTTCCCTCTTCAATGAGAAACCTACCGCTCTAGCCAGGGTCATATCCACACATGAGTAACCAATTAGTTTCATCTGCGAAGAAACATTTCATGTGTATGCTTGCGCCATAACCCGGTGTTATACTACTCCCTTGGTAGAACCGCTGAATGATTTGCAAATGTGACACGGTGCTGCTCTACGAAGTCTGGCGAGCCCCAGGCCTGTGAACATTGTAGTGTTGAAACTATCTCACCGGATACTCGTTAGCTCGCTCGCCAGAAACTCGGCTCGTTTGTGCGGCCAGCTCCTTTGCACTAAAGAACACCGTACACCGTACTCCGTACACATGGCAGTACATGTCGACCGGGGAGTCGTAAAATATTTTACGACTCCTTGGTCGATCGAGAGTCCAGTCCCGCGCAAAGTGAAAATCACTCGCATTTGCAGTGACTGTATGCCTGCACGACACTTTGAGTTGCTTCAGTTGTCGTTGCAGCTTTGGTGGACTCTACTGATGTCGTGTTCCGCATCTGCTGACCTGTCGCAGGATATGCTTCGGTCACCTCCATTCGAGTGAAAGTTACGCTCAGTCGTTTGGAAGTTTTCTCCCGCGATGCAGCGAAGACCAGGGCTACTTCCCATCTTTGCAAAACGGTCTTTTCTTTCAAAGGCTGCTCAAAGACGGCGCTGAAAAGACATCTCGACACCAAACAACAGTCCGAAGTGAAGCAGCAGCAACCCCAAATGCCGGCGGTGATAATTTGAACCATCTGAAAAAAGTCTTTAATAGAAAAAAAATTATTCAAAAAATCATATTTGCCACATCAATGAAACTCGTTAGCTCGCTCGATAGGTTGCTCGTTAGTGAAACTGATCGCTCGTTTGTTATAGATACGCTCGTTTCAACACTAGAACATTGAACTACTCACTAGCTCTGGGCACTTCCTTATCCATGAGATCGGGTGTCATGGAGCGGGGCGTTTGATTTCAAGCTCCCCTTATTCGTAGATTTGTTTCATGATGTGTTTCTACCCACAACTGTATCTTCCCTTGCTTTGCAGCCAAATGGCTCCAGGCCAACGGTTCTGTACACGCCGCAGCAACTCCAGCACACAGACCCAGCGTGACTGAGCAGTTCGCAGAGGACGCATGTCAGGAGTACGGACATCATCTCATTACCAAGGAGTGGCTAGAAGAACATGGCCATGTGTTAACAGAGCGCTGGCTAGAGAAGTTGGCCTTATTGCATAAACACCAGCAAGCACCTTACCACGTCGCGTCAATCCGAGTCAATGGCCATTCCCTTTACAGAACCGTAATGTTTAGCGCGCGAAAGCAGACGTTTCAGAACGCCACAAGCAAAACTCAAGCCCAGATTCTCTGTGTCAGTAAGTGAGACAAGGCTTCTTAACTTAAACGGCTGACCATGCGCAAGTAGTGCTCTGCCCTTGTGTGTGACATCAGCACGATGAGTATACTGTTGTGCATTTGTGCATTTGTGTAACATGTCTCCTGTGCCACCGTTAACTGTGTGAACAGGGCTTGTGCTAATAATGAGCCACTATGTACGATGTGACCTTGCAATGTGCAAACATGTCGTATCCAAGCATTTCTTGTACGCACAATGGATCCCAATATAGAGAGCCCTTCCTTAACTGAGGATCAGGTTGTGTTTTTCCCGTAATTTCGAAGTTTCGATTGCGACTTGCTTGTTTGGCACAAGCAACTTTATTTGTTGGAAGAAAGTCTATGCAGTGTAGCGTGGCGATTGTCCGCACCCCTGGGAGTGCAGGCCATATCTTGGTGTTCGCATGAGGGGTATGATGGGATATTATTTTACAGTCAAACACCGATTGTGCGGACGTTAACTCTCCGGACAATCGGTTATCCGGATCTCCTGGTCGGGCTGGACAACATACAAAATTGGCAGCTTTTTTTGAAGTTTTGCTGATTTTTGCCACTCGGAGCAGCACTCAAGCGATGCCCAAGATGTTTTACAGCAGGTTATTCAGTCAAAATGTACAACGATGAGAAGCTGGAGTGCACCTAGTTCCTGTCGTACAAAAATGTTGAAAATATGCTGGAATATGCATGTGATAGATGTATGAGTGGTCCCATAACCGACCATTCTTCTCATCTGATCACCGTGGAAATGGCCGATGCCCCGAAGGGTGGCTGACAATTGGCACCCTGCTGTATTTTAACGGCAACTGTCAAATGCACTATGCTTTAGCTCTTTGGCAGATCCTATGAGGGTAGATACTGAAAAAAATCCCTGCTCTCACGCATCAGTTCCTATAATTTTTTGCTGCCTGATAAGGTTTCTTGGACCATCATTTTGGGTTATCAAAAATGTCAAGTGTTAGGGACTGTAAAGGCCGATTCACAATACAAATTCTTGCGATGCGACATGCAACTTTACAACACCTGCGACGAGCTGCGACAGCGACACACAGTTCACAATAGATGATATGCCAAATAACGTGCTACTAGACTTGAGGGGGCATTGCACACAAGTTGCATACAAATTATACTACAATGTGTACACGGTAGGCCCTGAGCTCTGCAAGAGGACAAGTCACAGGTAACTGTACAACTTTGAACTTTGTATGCAACTACTCTGCAATGCCCTCCCAAGTCTAGTTGCACGTTATATGGCATATCATCTATCGTTTTCATGTTTGCGACATCTTTATGCGCTAGTATAACTATGCACGTGCACTGCACGTGCACCCAGGGTCGAAACAGTACTCCATTTTGTGTATGTCGTACAACATTCTTCAACTTCTGCGACAGGTGCCTTGCAACAGCTTGCGACAGCTCGCGACAGGCAGATTCTTGTCGCAACTGTCGCAAATCGTGTGTCACGTCGCAGAAGGTTGTACTGTGGATCGACCTTTAGAGTGTAATGCAATTGACTTTTTGTTGTCCTGTTCTGCACAGAGACGTGTGAGACCGGTGTTCTTGGACCAGACCTGAGTTGTGTATGTAACCGCACCTCAACCTATGGTCAATATTGTGAAAAGGGTAAGACACCGAGCCATTCGTTTTTTTGTTTTATCTAAGAACACGCAGCAAGACTGCTGGAGATCATCCGGTATCATGATCTATGCAAGCGGAGAGACCGGCCCAATTCACCTAGACCACTTAGTTATTGTGAAAGTCATGGAAAGCCCTGTACCTCGGATGAAGCATTTGCTGGAGATGGCTGACATTGCCACGGCTAAATCGCTAATTAGCTCGTGCTCAAGGGTGTCATCGATTGGCGAAACTGGATTGAGTGCGAGCAGGCAGTGCAATTCGAGCAACGCTGACCCAAACTAACAAAGCAAGGGTGTAGTACGCAAAATGCACGCATGTCGTACAAAGATTCTGCGAAGGCTTCCAAAAAACGCCAACGTCCATTTCCACTCCAGCGACTCCCGGTGTGGAGGCCGGTGTTATCGGATTCCACTCCAAGTACACCTACTCCGGATTCGGCCAGATTAGGCCAATTGATCACGCACTTGCTCGGGATTCGCCCTATCGATCATGCCCACCTCAGTCAAATGGTGTTGTTGTTGTTGTTGTTGTTGTTGTTGTTGTTGTTGTTGTTGTTGTTGTTGTTGTTGTTGTTGTTGTTGTTGTTGTTGTTGTTGTTGTTGTTGTTGTTGTTGTTGTTGTTGTTGTTGTTGTTGTTGTTGTTGTTGTTGTTGTTGTTGTTGTTGTTGTTGTTGTTTGAATTTGAATTCTTTATTCTCACGATGGCACCATCGCCAATAAGAGATAAATTTATGAGAAGGTGAGATTGTGGGTTAGAAAGTTGGAAAGTGATTTACATCACTTTGAACTTTACAAGTATGGGAGAGGGTGAGCGCTGCAGAAGCAGATTGAGTTAATCAGCAGTGACAAGATTTCTTGTTTGAAAGCAGGTCGGGAGGAGACGTCACGAATGCTAGCAGGGAGGGCATTGTAGTATTCTAGGGACTTGTACAGTGGGGAGTCTATACAGCGATCGGTTCTTGAGGGTGGGAGGTGCCAAGTGCGTGCGTGTCGAAGGCTGTACTGGGCCGTAACTTGAGCGGGAGTGTTGAGCAAGCGTATGTGTTGTGGGGCATATTGGTATTTTATGGAGTGAGCAAGAAGGGTGAGCTTCACTTTGCGGCGAGAGAACATTGTCGGCCATTTGAGCCGATGGAGCAGTGTTGAATGATCCAGAGGAGTGTAGAGGGGGAGACTTGTTGTTGTTGTTGTTGTTCGAATTCGAATTCTTTATTCTCACGATGGCACCATCGCCAATAAGAGATAAATTGATGAGAAGGTGAGATTGTGGGTTAAACAGTTGGAAAGTGATTCACATCACTTTGAACTTTACAAGTATGGGAGAGGGTGAGCGCTGCAGGAGCAGATTGAGTTAATCAGCAGTGAGCAGATTTCTTGTTTGAAAGCAGGTCGGGAGGAGATGTCACGAATGCTAGCAGGGAGGGCATTGTAGTATTCTAGGGACTTGTACAGTGGGGAGTCTTTACAGCGATCGGTTCTGGAGGGTGGGAGGTGCCAAGTGCGTGCGTGTCGAAGGCTGTACTGGGTTGTTGTTGTTGTTGTTGTTGTTGTTGTTGTTGTTGTTGTTGTTGTTGTTGTTGTTGTTGTTGTTGTTGTTGTTGTTGTTGTTGTTGTTGTTGTTGTTGTTGTTGTGTTTATTTTTATTTTACTTCACCAAGTGAACAGGCATTTCTGCCTTCTCACCAGGTCAGCGGAGACCTAGTTCCGACCAAATGATAAATGTCTCGATTTCCACTAAGCATAGAGTAACACCCCGTGCATTTTTCTATGCGACTCCGTGCATGCGTTTATTGATGGGCGTTGCAGCATGCAAGTGCTTGAATCAGGGTCAGTGTGACAACAAAGGTGAATGCAGCTGCCCGAAAGGATTCACCGGAGACAAGTGCCAACTCGGTAAGTAGAAAATATTTAGTTTTCTTCAAGTATTCTTTTTCAGTTCCCTTGGGAATTTATAATCATGCACTGACAAGTACTTTGACTCGCTAATGAAGGAGTCCACGCTTTTTGGACGTGATCGTACAAGGCATAATAATAAATTCTATGGCAACAGTCCATGGTAGCCATGGAAACGGAGCATGGAATTTTGCATTCCACTGCCATGGCAATCGATATGCCACGGTCGAAATTCACTTTGGACGCAGTTGCAAGCGCTCCGACAGGAACATGGCGCCCATTTTGAGAATTGATGAAATTGCACATATGCAATGCCCTGGATGTAGTCTTGCCTTTTGCGCCATTACTTTGTACTACAAGGACCTCATCTCAACAATTGTTTCAACAAGATTCTCAAGCAACAGCACTTTTGCAGCGCGATTTCTTGGGTTCTACCGGTAGGACCCGTGGTCTTACCGGTAGGACGGCATGCAAGCTATCATTAACATTCCAGAATCACGGGTGGTCAATATCATCCTGGAATTGCCCAACCAAATGCAACCTTTAAGTCTGTCTGACTTCGTTTCTGGCTGATTTACTCTCTTCCTCTTCTTCCCCTTCCTTGCGATGTGTGATGCAGTTGTGTGTACACATCCCTGGGTGAAAAAGAACAAAGTATGCGAATGTACGGCCAGACTAGATGGACCTAACTGCACAGAAGGTAAGGGCTGAAGAAAGCTGCTGTAATGTATGTAGGCATGTCAGAGAATGTATGACCTATGCTCTCACGCATGCTTGAATGTTGTATTTTGAAGACAAGAAAACAACTCCCGAGTCCTCATGCGGGCTTCTCCGACCTGTTCTGCAACATATGCTCAGTTTGTAGCCGGGATGTGATAATTTTAAACTGATTTGGAGAGCATATGTCGGCTACAAGAATTCTGGCTAATCTGAACACTGCAACTAGAATACAGGGGCGAAGAAGCTACAATATTGTGTTGCCTTGTAAACTGATCTAAAAAGAAAAGAAAAGAAGAAGCTAAAAATTAATACATCTCTGCACTTGAAGTGTAAAGCGTGAAGTGTGCAAAGCAGCGTGCACGGAAGTCAATGCTGCGCCTGTAATAGTTTTACCTTGACACTTCTTGCTTGTCTTATGGTAACACCTTGTGTTCCTACTATTCTCACTCCTGCGGTTCTCGCCTTTCTTTTGCTTTTAAACCTCTGGTTTGAACATCATTCGGGGAATTCTCCAATCAATCAAGTCTATACTGTTACACTGGTAGCTTGAGGATGGTTGAGATCATCGTTTGCCCTTTGACGTGCCTTGTGCTCCTGGCCGCTACTGCTCTGCTATACGCCGCTTTCCGTGAGATCCGCCGCGCTCGGGACAACGTGGCTGCTACAGTTGGACGACATCAATTACCTGCTACATCAAGCTCAAGTCCTCCGGATCTAGCCCCGTGTCGATCGCGTTCTCTCTCCCAGACAAGCCCGAGCGTCAAACGCGTTACCAGAGAACCAAATGTTTTCCATGGCAACCCTTCCGAGTTCAAAGAGTGGGTATTTACGGTCGAGTTAGCCTTGAAGTGCTCACCTCAGGTGACCCGGAGAGCCAAGTTAATTTTGCGGCTAGCTACCTCGCTGGGAATGCGCGTCTTTGGTTAATTTCTTCCATCGAAGCAGGTGAGCAGTTTTCGGATTGGCATTCTTTGAAAAGCGCCCTAGCGCGAGTTTATGGCCCGCACTATGACGGGGAAAGAGTGCGGTTGGATATGTTCTCTATCCAACAGCGTGGGTCAATTGAATCGTACGTAACGGAGTTTTCTCGGCTAAGTTTACAGGTGCCGGAACTTGACGAACTCTCCAGAGCCTTGCTATTTGTCAACAGCCTGCACGGCAACATGCGGACCTTGGTAGTGAAGGAACACCCCACTACACTGTCAGCCGCCGTTCAGGCAGCGCTAGCAGTCGCCTCAGACAGCCGATTTCAGCGCAGACCACCACTGGCGACCGGGCCGGGATTCGCACCACCATCAGGTAGCAGAAAGCTAACAAAACTAAGCCCCGAGGAACGTGAGACATTACGAGCCCAGGGGGGGGGGGGGCTGCTTCGCATGTCGTCGACCAGGCCATATGGCCCAGAATTGCCCGCAGCATCGAGATCACCCAAACGGTGGACGTCAGTAAGGCCGATGCGATTACTGACGCATCAAGAAAAGGCATCACCTGCGTGTAGTGTGTGCTCCGTCTCTACCCGTAACCGATTCAGTAGCCTCGCTGTGGAGGATGTTGACGATGATGCTGAATGCTCCGAAGCCAATTTCAAGCGAGATGTTACACCAACTATTGAGGCCCAGGTTACCAGCATCAATGTGGAAACGGAACATGAGCTCCTGCGTGTAGAAGGCAAAATCAACGGTCGTCGCGCGCTTATGTTAATAGATTCGGGCTCGACCCATGATTTCATTGCCAAACAGTTTGCCAGGAGAGTTAACCTGCCAACCGAAATTGGCTCGGAAAACCTGAATGTCACGCTGGCTGATGGAGCATCAAGCTCGTTTCCCATGGAGACGACCCATGAATTGAAGGTTATCGTAGGCGACTTCAGCGATAACCAAACCTTCACGGTGTTCCCCCTTCATCGCTATGACGCTATATTGCGGAAACCTTGGTTAACGCGTAACAATCCAGACATAAACTTCCGGACGAATGAAGTCAGGTTGAACTCGAATGGTTTGCCTTGTGCGTCAGCAAACCGACCGCTCCTGTGGAGGCGATGTTCATATCTGGTCGTCAGGCTAGGCATACTCTTAGGAGTGGAGACGAAGGTGTTCTGGCATGATTCAGCGTAGAAGACGGCATTGGCAAGGAACCTCCCGACAAATCCACTCAGAACGAGCACCCAGATCTCAAGGCCATGTTCCGTGACTATGAAGATCTTTTCCCGGATGATCTGCCAGCTAGACTCCCACCAGAGAGGTTTGTAGACCACGAAATCCGCCTGGAGGAAGGCTCATCACCCCCATCGCGACCTGCCTATCGCCTGCCCAGGCCAGAAATGGAGGAATTGAAGAAACAGCTCACAGAACTCTTGAAAAAGGGTTTCGTAGAACCAAGTAAGTCCCCCTTTGGTGCACCGGTGTTTTTTGTCAAGAAAGCTGATGGTTCGTTATGCATGGTCTGCGATTGGAGGGAGCTAAACAAGATAACTGTTAAGAACAAGGCGTGCTTGCCCAATGTGGATGATTTATTCGATACCGTACAGGGCGCTAGGTACTTCACGAAACTAGACCTCCGATCAGGGTATAATCAGATTCGCATTCAAGCTGAGGACGCGCCCAAAACCGCGATTAACACTCCCTTTGGGCATTACTAATTTAGGGTCATGGGATTTGGTCTCACCAATGCACCGGCAACATTTCAATCCATGATGAATACGATTCTTCAACCATATCTGAGGGAGTTCGTAGTCGTGTTCCTAGATGACATACTCATCTTCAGCAAAACGTGGTCGGAGCATATGCAGCATGTCCGGTCGGTATTGAGCGTGCTCCGGGACAACCAGTTATTTTGCAAACGGTCAAAATGTGAATTTGGCGTGGAGAGTGTGCGGTTCCTGGGACATTGCATCGATGGACTGCACGTCGCCCCTGACCCAGACAAGATTGCCGCAGTAAAGGTCTGGCCCGCTCCGACTTCCGTCACAGAGGAGAGGCAATTTCTTGGATTTACGAATTATTTTAGACGATTCATAGATCAATACTCATCGCTCTCTAAGAACTTAGAGGAGATAATGGGAAAACATGCACGATTCGAGTGGAACAGCTCTCGGCAACATGCCTTTGAATCGCTAAAGCATGCCTTGTTGAATGCGCCCCTATTGCGGCTGGCTGATGTGAACCGACCATTCAGAGTGGTAACAGATGCAAGCGATTTCGCCTTGGGATGTGTTCTTCTCCAAGAACTAGAGGAAGATGCCTGGCATCCAGTGGCTTATGCTAGCCGAAAATTGTCTGCTGCTGAACAGAATTATACAGCTACAGAAAGAGAAACATTGGCCGTAGTGTTTGCGCTAAAGACCTTGCGCATATACCTCTTTCAACACTTTGAGATCATTACAGACAACATGGCGGTAGTTTATTTGAAAACAAAACCAAGCATTACAAAGAGAGAGGCGCGATGGGTTGAATTCCTAGCTGACTATGACTACACAGTCCGTCACAGACCCGGCAGAGAGAACCCTGCAGATCCCCTTTCGCGTCGCCCAGATCTCCATGAGAGTAACCTCGTGGAGAATGCAGTACCACGTTTGAATGCTATTGAGTATGCTTTAGCAATGAATGATGACGTGTCCAATACAATATCAGATGCCTACCAGAGAGACAAAGAGCTAACTCCCATCATAGAAAGATTGAAGCATTCTCTCCCAGATAATTTGCATGATCGCTATTATTGGGACAAATCCACTGATCGCTTGTACCTCAAGGCATCCCCCAATAACCGGTTGTGCATGCCACAGTGCGGTGTCCGGTTAAAGCTCATTCAAGAACACCATGAGTGTGCAACGGCTGGCCACCCGGGTCGTGATCGAACGTACTTCCGCCTAGCACGTTTTTTCTACTGGCCCTGAATGGGTCTCGATATCAAGAGATTTGTCAAAACCTGTGATCTCTGCCAGCGAACGAAGGGAGGTCAGCCACGAACAGGGCTTCTCCAGTCACTTCCAATACCTAATAGTCCTTGGCAGGATATCTCAATGGATTTTATTGTTGGATTGCCCCTTATAGACTGTGAGCCAGGCACCAAAAATCCTGTTAGAATTTTTTTTCGTTCCGACCTTGAGCGTACCGCAATTTTTTTCCCCAGTTCGTTTCATCTACTCGACTAGATACGAATTCAGCTTGTTGTCACTTCCAAATCAGGCACGAACATGCCCAAATAGAAGGGAGAAACTACTTTGGCCAAATCAATAGCCGCCATCGACAAGAACCAAGGTCACAAGAGCTGGAGCGGACTTCTGTTGCACCACTGACCTCGCAAAAATGTACGGTGGTGCAAACCCAGCCGCATCATGACGATGTTTTTTCGTGGTTTCTATAGTATTGTGTGCAGTGCTAGTGCAGCGCAGTGGCAGTGCGAACATCATCATGTCAATCATATCAGTGTGCTAGCATGCTTGCTGCTGATCAGTCAAGCTAAACTAAAGGTTTTTGTAATCTGTTGGAGCAGAAATACATGTAGAACGCACAATGTACCTTATCTCCGGAGAGCTAATAACTGTTTCGATCTTTTATACTGAAGTGCTTCAGACTATGATTAATTGTATCTTTCCGCTTGTGTTCTGTACATACAATGGGTAATGTAACTAATGTTTCAAAATAATTATTATTATAGTTCAAATAAACTACAGATCTGTATCTACCGGTATACCCCTGCGGTCCTCTAACGTTACTGGTTACGGTCATTGCTCTACCCTTTGCACTTATAAGTTAGGAAGCAATACAGCAGTACTTACGAAGTAACGGTACATTGATCAGTTATATGAGTGCAAATATACAAATCCTGTATCCAGCAACTTCTTTAACATTATTCTGCCATATTATAGAGATGTAGAGGGTGAAATGAGCATTGCACCGGATTAAACCAGATTCTCCTGGCTGTTATTGATGGTCTTTTCCAACCGTTGTCTGGAGAATTCGCTGCTGCTGGGCTTTGTATATTGAATGCCACCTGTTTGTTCTGTACATTATCATTCCTGAAATGCATTTCGTGGTTGTCGGCACCATTTCACGTGCACTTACCTACCAGTGCATCGTCACTTCGAGTAATATTTAAAATGTGCACGTACATTATACAATGCACTTATGCGTAATTCTATAATTTTTGGCCTCGTATAGTTATTTTAACCCAGCTGCAATGACGCTTGATATACATTTCTTCGTCCAGTGCCGTTGCCTGCTGAAAAAAGTAAGAAACACCTTCAAAATAGCATGTTGCTATGTCAGTTGCTATGTAGTTGCTATGGAAACGGGGTATGTTAAGATAATTGCTTATTTTGACTTCCCTGCAAGCTTCCCAAACTGACAACAATCAAAAATGATCTTCTATTAGGTCTCTCCACATGCTAAAAGAACAAAATCGCGGTACACCCAAAGTGGGAACGAAAATCATGAATTCATGCACTTGGCTCACAGTCTATTACTTCTCGTGGCTTCGACGCAATTTACACCTTTGTAGACCGACTTACGAAATGCGTACATCTTGTTCCAACAAACTCGAAGATTGATGCTAAGGGCAGTGCTCAACTGTACATTCAAAACGTGTTTCGTCTGCACGGGCTGAGCTCGACCATTGTTTCCGATCGCGATCCACGATTCACTGCAGCTTTTTTCAAAGAAGTATTCTCTCAGCTAGGAACTAAATTGGCATTCAGCCCTGCTAACCACCCTCAAACGGATGGTTTGACAGAGAGAGTTACCCGGCAAGCGGGAGATGTTCTAAGAGCATTTGTGAACTTGAGACAGGACAATTGGGATTCGCTTCTACCACTCTGCGAGTTTGCAATAAATAGTTCACAACAGTCATCTGTAGCTAATACACCGTTCTATCTAAACTATGGGTTTGACCCTAAATCCCCGCCCGAATTCATTCTTACGGGAGGGGAAAGGAGTGATTCGGTCGATTGGCTTCACGAGCAGGAAGCCGCACTAAGGATAGCTCGAGATGCAATGCTCGACGCCCAGGCAAGGCAAGCTCTATACGCAGACCAGACGAGAACGCCCAGTGATTTGAAGGTTGGTGATAGCCTTCTTGTCTACAGAGACTTTCTACTGACCCCGGAAGCTCGTGGCCAGCCCTCTCGGAAGTTGCAATCCAAGTCGTTTGGTCCGTATCATATCCAGGCTAAGATTGGAGCGAATGCTTTTCGCTTGGACCTACCCCGTGAACTTCGCTGCCATCCCGTGTTTAATGTCACTGCTCTTAAACGCTACGAAGAGAACACGATTCCTGGAAGGCACCAACCCCCGCCTTCGCCCTTCACAGATCTAGATGGACACACACGCTATGTTGTCGAAGCCGTTTTGAATCACCGACACCGCAGTGGTGAGCAACACTTCCTGGTGCATTGGAAGGGTTACCCCAGCAGCAAAGCTACGTGGGAGCCCGCTGGCAACCTATGTGATGAGTCTGGTCGGAATATTAAACCGCTGCAGAACTATCTAGCCTCACAACGACAGCAGCCTTGATCTAACTGGGCTGAGCCATATGCATCTCTTACTGAGATAGTTAATAATATGTTATAGACTGATATGGTTTTGCGTCATCTCCTTGTGAGAGTGATGAAGTTGAGTTGGATTACACTTCAATGTGGTTATGCATGTGCATGAGTGATTATTTAATATTCCCCTTTCCACAATTGCATCTCCTAACTGGATTGTGTTATCTAATAGAACCTTGGCTTCCTATGGGGCCGGGAGAGTGTAATAGTTTTACCTTGACACTTCTTGCTTGTCTTATGGTAACACCTTGTGTTCCTACTATTCTCACTCCTGCGGTTCTCGCCTTTCTTTTGCTTTATAACCTCTGGTTTGAACATCATTCGGGGAGTTCTCCAATCAATCAAGTCTATACTGTTACAGCGCCCCTACCCCTTCGGCAAAAATATTGATATGGGGAGTTGGACACCCTTGTAAGTGGTTAAAAGAGCTGGTTTGAGGCGTCCATGATGATGGGCAAGGACATGTGAACAATTTCTTGACAGTCCGTTATTCTGTTCCTTTTCGTGTGCTTTGAAAAATGCATGCACATTCCCAATCACTGCTGCAGCATGCAAATGCTTGAATGACGGCCAGTGCACCAAAGATGGCACCTGCATCTGCCGGAAACGTTTCCATGGAGATCAGTGTCAGCACAGTAAGTATATGCCGTATGAAGTAAACCCCTGTTTTGTTCATGTTTCTGGAATACTGTAAAATGCCTAATGTTCGCGACGGATTAATGTTCGCTATTTTCGCCAAAATATTAACCATCGTGAAATCAAGCTTCAACAGTGGGTGTATATAGGTGTCCCCTGTGCTTCGCGACCTTTTGCCATCGCAAACTTGTTGGTTCTAAGAAATCGAGAAAATTTAGTGACGCGAATATTGGGCGATTTACAGTAGCTGAAAGCTCGGCTGCTGTTCATTATTTTTTTTTATTTATTTTTTTTTACCAAGTACACAACCTACTCGTCAGAAGGGGAGAAGACAACAGAGTATACAATGACAAAACAGCAGGGAGAGTAGGGGCTGCAAAGCAAGCCTGTGCTGGTGAGGCAAGCCCACAACACCGACCTATGGTCTCGGCGTTAACGTGAGCTTGCGCACCATAGCCTATAAAGAGGGGGGTGATTTAGTGCGATAAAGACAAGAGAAGGTGAGGTAGAATGGATGAGGAGAAAGAAAGAGAGAGAGAGGGGGGGTGGAGAAAGAGAGAGAGAGAGAGAGAGAGAGAGAGAGAGAGAGAGAGAGAGAGAGAGCGAGAGAGAGAGAGAGAGAGAGAGAGAGAGAGAGAGAGTGAGAGTGAGTGAGAGAGAGAGAGGGGGGGGGGGGTGGGGGTGGAGAGAGAACAAGAAGAGAGAAAAATAGATTCAAAGGCAGTTCAGATGCAGTGAACATCATGCAATACTTGGGGGGGGGGGGGGGCTTCAGGATGGAAATAGTTCTGAACTGTTAGAGGGAGTCTGTGGCCCAAAGCCACTGGCTTCGGCGAAGATGGTAGTGGACGTTCGCTTTGAAGGATTGTAGGCCCTTAGGAGATGGTGGTTTGGTGAAGAGGGAGGATGGCAGCGCATTCCAGGTGTTGATGATGTTGTATGGAAAGGCGCGTCTTAGGTAGTTAGGAGCGCCTGGAGGGAGAACATTTTCCAGTTGGAAGGGGTGTGAAGCAGACTGTTGGCATTGTCTCCGGGTTACAGGTGCGGCATGGTGGACGACGAGAGGGGGGACCATGGATCTCAGCAGAGGAGGACCTGGTTGGCCCAGCAGCTTGTAGACGAAAGTCAGTGCCGCCACTGTCCGTCGGGCCTCTAGGCTCTGTAGCAAGATGTTGGGTCCCAGGATGTGGAGGGCACGCCTCTGCACTCTGTTAAGGTGTTCAAGGTTAGTGGGAGCAGCTCCCATCCAGACAAGGGGAGCGTACTCGAGCAGGGGCCGGACGAAGCCGTGATACACGGCCAGCATGCCACGGCAGTCCAGAACACGAGCAGCTCTACGTAGGAGGCCAAGACGTGAGTTTGCCCTGGCAGCAACTGACCGGAGATGGGCGGAAAAGGATAGCTTGGAGTCAACCATAACTCCGAGGAGCTTGAGGTGTGGCTGTTGTGGGATGACCTCCCCTCCAAAGTTTATTGCGGGGACAGGCCAAGGCTGCTGTCGATGGCAGGAGATTCGTAGGAGCTGCGACTTGGATGGTTCAAACTTAACATGCCACTTTGTTCCCCATGCATGTAACGCATTAACGGAAGCTTGAAGACTGTCAGCTTGGTGTATGGCATCATCGCGTGTATTGACGCAGGCATACAGCGTGATGATTTGGCTGTGAGCTGCGCTTGGTGGGTCTCTACATTTGTGGCATTCTCCGTCCTCACTACGTACACGCCAGTGTCCGAGTTCAAAAGGCCCACTGGCACCACACAACAGGACAGCTAGCTCCATGGACCTGCAGGCGGGGAAGATCATTGGACATGCATTCGTAGTGCGTTTGTACGTGCGGCTGTTCATAGTCCCATAGGCCTGTCCATGTGGCTCTGCAACAAGATACATAGCCACGGCAGGTGCACTTGCAGCATTACGATGCAATGCGAGGTCGATTATGAAGATATGATAGTTAATTCTTGTAGGCAGCATATTCTTGTACACGACCACACTATAACCGATATGTACTGTAACAGTTTAGGGCAAGGAACAAAGCAAATAGCGCCTGACGTAGGTGTTTTGTTCGGAAGTTTGAGGAAAGTTGAGAGCGGAAAAGTCTGCAGAAAAAATTGACTGCCATCACCAGAACTACAGTAAAACCTGGTTTAAGCGACCACTCCGCGGTGCAAGCAAAAGCGGTCGTTAAAGCCAGGTGGTCTTTAGAACCAGGTCCCACAGTGTCTGTGTAGAACTGTCAGTGCATGGAAAAATGGTCCGTGTTAAGAGCAGGTGGTCGCTAAACCCAAAGGTCGCTTACACCAGGTTCTACAGTATAGCTGTGATGGTCCGATGATATTTGGGATCATTTTAGTAAACAAATTCTGAAATGGACTGCGGTATCCCTACTGAGCAAGTGTACGTCTTGGTAGGCTGTGGTCCAGTTGTGTTCTACTTCATCTGACCGTGTCTTGCATGTGTACTGTGTTATGTTAAGCTTTCAAGACAAAGTGCCTGGGTACAGATAAGGCAATGTACACCTGGATTGCTCTCGCCGGCTTGCCGTGTCATCCACACCTCGACGGTGACAGCTGTCAGAAGAAAACGAACTTGACGCATGCCCGCCAGATGTGCAAGAGAAGAGGATACGACGTGGTAGACTATAATGCCTTCACCAGTCAGATGCTTGGCGTGAGAGACTGCATGGAAGAATTGCTCAACAAGATGATGGCAAGCAATTTCAACAACCCTATCACAATATGGACATCTTTCTTGAGGGATGGCAAGCATGTCATTTACAAGGAGGGCAAGAACAACTTAAGAGAAGAGTTACATGATAGTAGTGGAGCAAGCCATCTTGATTTCGAGATGATGGCGAGCGGTGACAGCAACCCTATCTCCCTATCGTCAGGGCAAGAACAAGTTAAGAACAAGTTGAGAGAAGAGTTACATGATAGTAGTGGAGCAAGCCATCTTGATGTCAAGATGATGGCGAGCGGTGACAGCAACTCTATCTCAATATCGGCATCGCTCGAGGAGGATGACCAAAATATCATGTACCAGCAGGGCAAGAACGAGTTAAGAGAAGAGTTACTTGATAGTAATGGAGCAAGCCATCATGATGTCATCTGCGAAGGTAGGCTGTTGCATTGTCCACCCAGCCCCATGCCTGCAAATATTGGCCGACACCTGAACCTGTCTCAGAATAGGGGTGAAATGGTAGCATTGACCTTTCCGTTAGACCGGGTTTTATTGAGCATGACTAGATTGTGGGCACCCGTTATTTAGATTTATTTCATAACTTTTGTCAAAAAGGCAGAAGAGACCAGAGAGAATCGGTTAAATAATTGTTGTAACGCTTCGTTTCATGCACAAAGTGGAGCTAAGGCAGTCCTTTGTTGGATCGCTCCATCCTGGTGGTGTTGAGTACTCTAGGCCATCTGGGAATGCTCGCTGTTGTCATTGCGTTTATTATGCATACAGTCGTCCCTCTCTAATCTGGCACCTTTTGCAATGGAATTTTCTGCTGGATAAACAAGGGTGCTGGATTATCAAATTCTGCCCTCCAACCCGGCCCACATGTTATGATACATGTTTGTGTCGCATGTCAAAACATAGGGATTTTCTGTGTCAAACCAAGTACTTTGTGGAATCATGGAATGCATGTCTATAACATACACTTGGGAATATCTTATGCACTAGCATAGGATATTTATTCCCAAATGTATGTTACATGTGTTGTGTATGTTACAATGGTCCCTGACAGTATGCGATGTACAACTGCTGGATTAGAAAATCAAATTATGTACAGTTTGAGTGGTTTGTTGCAGAAAATCGCTGCTGGAGGCGGAATTCAAGTGCCGGATTAAAGGGTAGAAAAAGAACTGAAAAAAATCGTTTTGCCAGAAAGTGTGCTGGTTTGCAAGGGTGCTGGATAAACAAGTGCCGGAATAGAGAGGGACGACTGTATGCCCTATTGCCTACTGTATGTGCCCTTGTTTTGCAGCCAAGTGGCTTCACGCCAACTCCTCAGTATACACCACAGCAACGCCAGCGCTGAGGCCCAACGTCACTGAGCAATTCGCAGAGGAGGCATGTGAGCAGTACGGACTTCACCTCATAACCGGGGCCTGGCTGCAAGCACATGGCTATGTATTAAGAGAGAGCTTCCTAGATAGATTGGCTATTCGGCAAGCACCTTATCACGTCAAACCAATCGTGGTGAACGGCAACTCCCTTTACAGAACCGTAACGTTTAGCGAGGGAAAACAGAGGTTTGTGAACACCACAAGCAATCACCGAGCCCAAATCCTCTGTGTCAGTAAGTGAGATGTCTTGAACTTTTAAAAGCAAAACGATAAAATTATAGCATATGCCTAACAAACTCGGCAACCTGCACCACTGTGACTGTTTAAGGAACTTTTCACCGTACCTGTGGCTTACCATGAGGTCAGAAATGACGTACTGCACGAATTACGCTCCCACAGGAACCACCCCGAGTTGCACACTCTGGTTTATGTAATATTGTCGTTAGTGTTTGGCACAAAACGCATAACTTGTACACCTTGGGTCCTCTCTTTTAATTTTTTAATCGTTGCCTTTCCATCCGAGTCTGACCTATTAGTATTATTATTATTTAAATTTTGAAATGGGCAATCTCCACAGGCGAATTGTATCATATTTTATCAATGAAAAATATCAATTGTGCACTCATAACCATGTATAGAAAAGCAACATTAAACGCAATGCACCTACAAACATAACGCTTGCGAAGCACGTTATTTAGACATTCAGTCTGATCGTGAGTGTATCTCCGTTTAAAGTAGTTAAATAACCGACGAGGACGGGCAAGCGTTATGTTTGCAGGTGCATTGTGTTTAAAGGGGAAGTTAAGGCAAAAATTAAAATTTCACCAGTTGTAGTCTTCGGGGTGCTGAGTCGAATGGTCGTGGTCCGAGGAAGCTGAGACGCTCCCTTCCTACTTGAATCCCAATCGAACTCGCGTACTTCCACTGAAACTGGGTGACTGCGCCATACTAGATGGGGATTTGTATGCAAAATGTCACTAAAAGCGCCATTTCGTTCTTATAAAAGCACGGATGACCGCGATTGGCCCATATGTTGTAGTCTTTTGGACGCTGAGTCGACTGGTTTTGGTCCGAAAAGGCTGCGATGCGGCGTTCCTCCTTTATTCCCAATCGAACATGGATGAAGAAGCGGTCACGTGCTCCTGCGTACACCAGTCACCTGGTCACCGTGCCTGCAGGGTACAACTTACTAGCCTGTTTGACCTTTTTTGGGTGCAGTCCAGTCACTCGAGTTGAACTCGAGTTGAACCTTGGTGTGAAAGTTGTCACCTGCTGGCGTGGTGACCAGGTGATTTGGGCACCCAGGACCACGTTACCGCTTCTTCAACCATGTTCGATTGTGAGTAAAGGAGGAACGCTGCATCGCATCCTTTTCGGACCAAAACCAGTCGACTCAGCGTCCAAAAGACTACAACATATGGGCCAATCGCGGTCATCCGTGCTTTTATAAGAACGAAATGGCGCTTTTAGTGACATTTTGCATACAAATCCCCATCTAGTAGGGCGCAGTCACCCAGTTTCGGTGGAAGTGCGCGAGTTCGATTGGAATTCAAGTAGGAAGGGAGTGTCTCAGCTTCCTCGGACCACGACCATTCGACTCAGCACTCCGAAGACTACAACTGGTGAAATTTTGATTTTTGCCTTAACTTCCCCTTTAATGTTGCTTTCCTATACATGGTTATGAGTGCACAATTGATATTTTTCATTGCTATTTTACGACTGTTGTCTCCTCGTCGGTTATTTAAATGCATCATATTTGTTTATGAATGGCTGTTACGAGTAGATCTACTAACGGTTACATGTGTTTTTGTCCTAGTACTATTTCGAGTGCTGGCTTCAGTGCTTCAACAGTGTTCACGCCCCAGTTTGCTTGCAAGCGAAAGTTGCCTGGTAACTTTGTGTAGTCTAATTTCTCTATCTCCACTGCTCATTGCGTAACCAAACCGTGTATTTTCTCTGTTTCACGCCATGTTGCGTGTATGCGGTGGCTGCTGCAGTGTGCAAGTGTTTGAACCAGGGTCAGTGTGACGACAAAGGCAAATGCATCTGCCCGAAGGGATTCACCGGAGACAATTGCCAGAAGGGTAAGTAGAAGCAGGCGTCCATAGCCCCAAGAGTTTGCAACTCTGTACATGGGGTCCGCGCGGCGGAATTCCAACATTACGTACAAGTTCGTTGCGCTTGTACTACTCCCTGGTGCCAAACAGAAAATCCAAGCACCACGGAATGCAGAGTTTTGTCCTCTGTGCCTCAGTGGCATGACGTTATGTTGGAATTTTGCCGCGCAGTGGGCCTGCAGCAGCCAGACAACCAGTTGCACACCCTTGGGGTTGTGGACTCTTGGTAGAAGTGAATTTCCTTACCGATCTGAACACTTCTTCTTCTTCTTTTTACATGTACGCTTCACATTCACATCAAGTTCTCTCGCATGTTTGTCACTATTGTAATAATGCATGGTTAGTACTCTTGGTTGCCATATTAAAGTTGCTGTCTCCGAAATGCTTGTTTGAATTTGTTTACTTCAAGTGTTTCCTTTACATTGCATGCAATTCTCAAAGTATACCTTTCGTGGGAACATGGCCTCCCCTGACTGTGTGTAGGCTTTGGAGTTGTTCCGGTTGGCCCTGATTATGCAGTCCTTGTTCTAGTTTCTATTTTGAGTGAAAGTCGACAGAAGAAGTATACCGGTTCACCAAGCTCTTGCTAGGAATAAGAACACAGAACACATGTGCATCAGCAAACCTGCTATTTTTGTGTGGTCGAAATGCTCATCCGTCCGCAATGTGTTACATTTCCCTGGTCAATTGTCCAGTCTCTTGCCTCTTGGAGATGCATGGGAGCCTTGACCCTCGAGGGGTGGGGTATTCCTATAGATGTGGAAAACTCGGCCTGCAGCCGAGTGGCACGCAAACTGTGCATGTTTTTCCTCTTATACTAGTAAAAATTAAAAGAATTTGATAACTGCAATCAGTAATACAAGCTGGATGGACATTTGTGTACACTTTGTTCATGTAATGTAAAACTGTGGAGACAATGTGCAATAAAACGATGAAAATGTGAAGAAATTGTGTAGAGAAAAAAACGAAAGGGACTCAAACAAGTTTTCGTACAACACTCATCAGGAATCTTCGTTGGACTAAAGGACACTGAAAACTACATTGAACTATTATAGAAAATGTAAGTTAGAGAAATAACACTAAGAACAACAGCAGTGAATTTTACAAACACAACAAAGACCGAAGCGAGGGCGACCTAGAAAACAACCGTTACCTACACAACTTGCGGATCCTGGCTCACAGACTGTGCTTGCTCCGCCGTCGCTGGTGGCTGTGGTGGAGGAGGGTGGTCGTGGAGGCTCATTGGGCCGGCTTGTGTCGCCGCCTTTGCTACTGCCGTCGGTGGTTCCTTCACTGGTGCACCCGGCTGCTTTGGCTGGGGTGGTGCCGCTTGCGGTCCCGGTCCCACTGCCTCCTCCTGATCCTCCGCCGTCGGCTCTTGCTGCGGTGGAGCTTGCCAGTGACAGACCGCGAGCAACACCGGCAGTGGCGTTACCACTACAATTGCCAACCCAAAAAGACCCACCTTGTGTATCAGCAGCTCCCACACCATCACCAACAATGCAATCTACAGCAACCACAACTAATCCACCATCCAAGCCCACTATTGAAAGACCAAGACGATCAACAGCCAACTACAACAGAAGCTACGCACTCAACGGACAAGGGCGTAAGGAGGGACGTGACAGCAGGGTGACGGCCGAGTCACGTTTAATGGACCAAGTCAGGCGGGATAACAGAGAGAGCGCAGAGAAAGCGGATGATGGGACGGACGGTGAAGGGAGCAGAGAGTCGGAGAGCGACGATTGTAGTGATCGTGAGAGTGCCGGTGAGAATGTTAGTGTTGTTCGTGGTAGCAAGTCTTCAATGTACAATCATCTGTTGGCTAGTCTTGATTGTTGCAATTCGTATTCCGACTCTTCTTTCACTGTATTGTTCCGTGGTCGTCATGGTTATAGACTACAGTTAAGGTGGCTCACGCCTATTTCAAAAAAATTAACGATTGCTCTGAAAATTTGGCGGGCGGTTGCTCTTAGGTAGTGTATGCAAATGGCGAGTTAAAAAAACGGGGTCTCAATGCTAACTTTTGAGATATAGGCGATGACAATTTCACTAAATTGTCAAATTTGTACGGGATTTGTGATGTATAGCGGACGGGTATTTCATCAAGAACCTGATTTACAATCTTCCTCAATTTTTGGTTATTGAATGGACTTACTGTGTACATGCCAATGAGAAAATAAAAAATATATGCTTCAATGCTCAATTTCGCCATATAGGCGCAGAATGCCTTTTTGATAAATTTGCTTTGCTACATGTACATGCACACCTACATATCCCATGTACATGTCCATATACATCTACTCTTCTCTACTAGCCCACCCAACCCTGCAATACACATTGACACAAGTGTACACACACATACACACACACACGCATACATGCAAACACACACACACACACACACCTGTCCTGTCGAGCCACTACCACTAGGGTCACGTGGGCCCTGGAGGGGCAGTAGAGAGAGAGAGAGAAAGAGCACGCCACCCGGTGGCGCTCCGGACACACACACACGCACACACACACACACACACACACACACACACACACACACACACACACACACACACACACACACACACACACACACACACCTTTGGACCTTTGGAAAGCCCATCGCGATTACCATAAAGAAATGGTGAGATACTACAGTAGTACCCTCTACTGACACAATGCAACCACGTTGTCCAGTACATGTTCGAATCAAAAATACGTTCGTACATTCGTGACCATTTCAATTTATATGCAAGGGCAACCTCCACAATCCACTGGCTTCAGAGTCGATTGATCATTATAGAACGGCCATTCTTGACAAAATAGTCAGACAAATTTTGTGAAGTATGGCGTTCTACTGTGGAAGGGACTCGCCAAGTCACTTGAACCAATTCAACGAAAATACAAAATACTAAGGTTTTACACATTCACGTACCCGTCTGTGCCGTCCCCCATTCCTTCCAAGACATCCACATAGGCTCCAACGCTTTTATTCTACTCTTTTTCTGAAGCCGACCATGGGCATGGGCAGTGCCTGCTGGAAGGGACATCCCAACACTTCTCTGACAGGTGACAATTTCCACACGTAAAAAATGCACCTAAAAAAAAGTAGCCAAGTGAAGGAGTGAAAAAAAGAAGAAAAAAGCTCACACCCTAGACTCGAGTACGAGAGTTTCGTACTCAGGCCATATCCTCGAGCTGGACCCTTCGAAACTGGAGTGCGCTACAAACTCGCTACGCCAACTCCGCATGCACTTTTCTCGAACGTAGGATGCGCGAGAACCTGCGCAGAAGACGAGTTTAGAAATAGGCGCGAGCCACCTTAAAAGTTTTTAGAAGCCATCTGTCAGCGTCTGTATAAGCCTAATTTGTGTGTACAGAAAGATAGTATAATTGGGTTGAAATTGTTCAAGTAAAGTGTCATGTTTGGTGCGGCCAAGCTTGGCCGTTAATGTTCTAGGTGTAATGTACTGCTGTTATTTGTTGTCACTTTGTCCTTCATTCTTTCTTTCTCTTCTTTTTTTCGTATTTCAGTTGCAAGTTGTTGGTACACACATTCGTTATTGCTCTCGCTTTCATTGTTAAAATTCACTCTTGTAAATTTCACTGCTGTTGTTCTTAGTGTTATTTCTCTAACTTAGATTTTCTATAATAGTTCAATTTTGTTTTCAGTGTCCTTTAGTACAACGAAGATTCCTGATGAGTGTTGTATGAACACTTGTTTGAATCCCTTTCCTTTTTTTTTCTCTACACAATTTCTTCACATTTTCATCGTTTTATTGCACATTGTCTCCACAGTTTTACATTACATGAATAAAGTGTACACAAATGTTGATCCAGCCTTGTATTACTGATTGCGGTTATCAAATTGTTGTCTCCTCGCCGTTTGTTCAAAATAAATAATAATAAATTATTTTTCCCTCTGTCTACTTGTCTGTCATTCTTGTGTCTGGCTAATCTCTGGCTGTTCTCCCTCTTTCTTGTGATATGCGATGCAGTTGTGTGCACACATCCCTGGGTGAAAAAGAACAAAGTATGCGAATGTAAACCCAGACTAGATGCACCTAAGTGCACAGTAGGTAAGGGCTGAAGAAAGCTGCTGTAATATTATGTGCCAGCGTGTCAAAGAATGTATGACCCATGGGAACATACATGCCGTTATATTGTATTTGAAGCCAAAGATACACTTCCGAGTTTGTATGCCGGATTGCCCAACGTACTGTGACCGTAAAAGTGGCTGGAATTTTGTTCTATCCACGTGCAATACATGATACAGTCATGTGGGCATCGGTTGGATATACGTGGGAGTGTTGTAATCTGGCTGTTCATGTAGCTATGTACTGGTGGGTACAGTGTCATGATGATCAAGATACATGTAACAATGTCTCGAGAATCCCATATGCTATGTTGTTCTGCCACTATTCGTTTGTTTTTGGAAAATATGTGCATCCAATCACTGCTGCAGCATGCAATTGCCTGAATAATGGTCAGTGTACTGAAGACGGCACCTGCGTCTGTCCGACCGGATTCCACGGAGACCAATGTCAGGACAGTAAGTGTCTCTGTTTGGTTTTGATTAGCTATATTTTTCTTCACCAGAAGCACAGGCAAAATCTGCCTTCTCACTGGGCGTGTTGCCACAGTTGCAAAATGATGAAGATAGTGATAATGATAAGAAAAAGAGAAAGAGGAAAATGCAATCATGAACAAAGCCCAAAGAGAAGACGGAAACAAATCAATGAGGGTATCTGCAATGTGAAGTGAGTATGTAACACCACACCTGCACACATTCACTTAAAAAACACACACACACATACACACACACACGCACGCACACACACACACACACGCACACACACACACACACACACACACACACACACACACACACACAAATACACACCGGCACATGCACAATTACTCTACCCGAGCAGAGCAGTAGTGCTGGACTACAAGTATTGCTTTTCAGAAAACTCACAGTCAAAGCCGTTTTCTTTTTTTTTTTAAGAACAATGGCTTTGGCACCTCTCTGTAGATGCTTGTAGCAAAAGGTTCCTTCCTAAGGGCATGCAGACTCCATTGTAGGCACTTCATATTTCACACAGTTAGTATCATAGAGTTATGCTAAAATGATGTGACGTTATTGGACTCATTTACCTACTTACCTACTGTTTACAGAAAAATGGGATTAACTGATTCCAGTGCATTTGTCTCCACAGCATTTGATCATAGTGGTCCGGAATTCCAGAAAGAGAATTGAAATGTACTCACCGTAGTGTCGTGTATTACCGCCGAGCGTATTCCTGTGGAAGCCGATTTCAGGGCTAGGCTTCTATTCAGTATTCACATCAAGCTTCTATTCAAACCAGGTATTTATATGTGCGTCAACACTAAAACCAGGCTTGTGTACCAAAAGTGTATTCTGAAATACACAAATGTCGGTTCAGCTAATTTTTTTGATTGCGGTTATCAAATTATTGTCTCCTCGCCGTTTGCTTCTATATGAGATAGGCTTTAATACAAGGCACTACGGTATATCATAATTAGTACAAGCCTTCATCCTGTTGGTAAAAGCGCATAAATGAGATTGTGTGGGTGTGACTTTCACAGGCCCCAAATATAGAGAAGGATTCGTTACGCACTAGCAAAATTATGGGATTAACAGCTTGTCCTTATAGTGCTTCAACCTTGAAAATTTGAACACAAGACGGACAGAAAGGGTTTTTGGCCACCGTAATATTTTTCTCCTGTACCTGAGTATGTTGTACATGTCTGTGTGCTGTTCTGTGTTCAGATTTCAGGACAAAGTGCCTGGGTACGGACAAGGTGATGTACACCTGGACGGCTCTCGCCGGCTTGCCATGTTATTCAGGCAGCTGCCCGAAGATAACCAGTTGGACGAAAGCCAGAGACGCATGCAGTGATAGGGGATATCAGCTGGTCGACTTTAAAACCTTCACCTTGCTCGGCTCAAAGCTTGGTGTGCGTGGCTGCGTAGAGTCATTGCTCCACGAGATGATGGTGAACAGTAACAGCAGCCCGATCACGATATGGACATCATCCGAGTACAATCGTCGGCGTATTATTTACAAGCAGGACAAGAACAAATCGAGTGGTGCAATATTTAGTGTTCATGGGTTCGGCCGTCACAATGTCATCTGCGAAGGTAAACAATTGCTTGTTTTAAAGCGATATCATTGGACGGGCAAATGGTGAGAATGCTGAGTAGCACACAGTGCATGGACAGGATATTATGTCCAATGATAATGACGGGACAGGAAAGTATGAAACAAAGAGACAACAAGAGTGCAGCCACCTGGGTTTCTCACATCAATGGCACACCTACCGTTATAGCCAGGGTCAGACCCACACATGCGTAACCAATTGATTTCACCTGCGAAGAAGCATTTCATGCGTATGCTTGTGTCATAACCCGGTGTTATACTACTCCCTTGGTAGAACCGCTGAATGGTTTGCAAATGTGACACGGTGCTGCTCTATGAAGTCTGGCGAGCCCCAGGCCTATGAACATTGAACTACTCACTAGCTCTGGGCACTTCCGTATCCAAGAGATCGGGTGTCATCAAGCACGATATTAAATTCACAATAGCAAGAATTTCAGTTGTCTGAGGATTGCTTTAGGGGGCGTTCGTTTTTGATCTACAGGTTTGGGTAGAAACTACTTCTTTCGGTAGAGTTTTTCGTTTTTTGAAAAGAAATTCTACTCAAAAGGGTAGATTCTACTTTTTTCTACCGGCTCTACCGGGATGAAGTTGGTTGAATCCGGTAGAAGTTGGTAGAGCTACGGGATTTCCAGCAAGATCAAGGATTTGTACACAACTCCATACAAAAAGGAAATATTTCACGTACACATCGTGTAAACTTCTAAATCCGGTAGAACAGCGTTCGTACACTTGCCTCTATCATCTACCTCTATGGCCACTCATTTTTATTTCTATGCTTCTCGTCACCCACGCGCATACGATTTAGGAGTCTTGAAGAAAAAAAGAAAAAAACTGTGCTGCACTGACTGTGCATATGGGGACCAGCACACACATTCACATGTACATGATGTGGCGTGGCCTGTGCGACACATGATGCGAGGTCGGCATTTGTTGTGCGCAATCTAGCTGCACATGCACAGATTGTGATAGAAGCGCCTACCACATACTAGTTGCTAACTATGGATGCTATTTTGCATGGTGTATTGGTGGATTTTAGTGTGAACAAAGGTCTAATAAACTTTTTTTATTCTTCGGTCATTTTGTATTTTTCCACCTCTCGCAAACATTTTTTGATTTTCAGGTGACGAGAAAACTAGAAATAAAAACGTGTGGCCTATCGGTAAAGTGACTCTACTCTACTAGGTAGCTAAAAACGAACACAGCTTTGGCCTTGCTATTTGCACGAAACGCAGCGTTAAAGCAATAATGATGCCGCTTGTCTTAGTTCTCTTCCGCCTATTTTTGTTTCTACCCACAACTGTATATGCCCTTGTGTTGCAGCTCAATGGCTCCATGCCAACGATTCTGTATATGCCGCAGCAACTCCAGCACTCGGACCCAGCGTGACTGAGCAGTGCGCAGAGGACGCATGTCAGCAGTACGGACTTCGCCTCATAACCAAAGACTGGTTACAAGAACATGGCCATGTGTTAAGAGAACGCTGGCTAGAGAGATTGGCTTTAGATAAGTCCGACGGATTAGGTTACCACGTCGCGCCAATCCTGGTCAATGGTCAGTCCCTTTACAGAACAGTAAAATTTAGCAGACAACATGTGACGTTTAAGAACGAAACAAGCCATGAGGATGCAAAGATTCTCTGTGTCAGTAAGTGAGAGAATAATAAGTGACTGTCTTCTGCAATGGCTGTCCATGCACAAGCTGTGTTTGGTCCCTGTTTGTGCCGCTAACGTGATGAATATAGTTGTGCGTTTGTGTAAATGTGTCCCGTCGCTACGTGCACTGTATGAACAGGGCTTATGCCAACAATGTGCCCACTTGCAATGTGCAAACATGTCGTCTCCCAGCATTTCTTGCACCCACGGTGAATCACAACATTGAGAACACTCCCAGAACTGAGATTAAGGCTGTGTTTCTTCGGTGTCTTCCCAGGGATACTCCGAAGTCATTACAGCATGTTTTGATTCTAAGGTTTTGTTTGGCGCAATATCAGTTTGTGGCAGAGACGGGGGAGAATTTACTCCCTGGATTCCAATTGCGAGGAATCAAAATGCATGACAAGCTGAAGTTCGACATGCCATCAGGGTTGAGAGAATTTACAGACAACTTTTTGTTGTTGTCAAGAAACAGGGGGAATTCCCATGACTGTCACCACGTGAGGAGGCGAAAGTTTACTACTTGACGTGAAATCCCCGGCGAGGGCTGTAACCCTACTATTTGCCGACGGAGCTGAGAACTTTCCTATGCAAATAGACTTTTCGATTGCTCAATTCCATTCAGGGAAAGCCGAGTTCCGAACATTTGAGCATCTGCAGTATGCACTGCACAGTAATACGGATGTATCTATCGTACAGCAAGAGCTCAGAAACCGTGTTGGAAGTGTTATGGTGTCATGCATCCCGTTCTATGGTACCGTGCCTTGCTGTCATGCTTCCGTTCTATGGTACTGTGCCTTGCTGTCATGCTTCCGTTCTATGGTACTGTGCTTTGCTGTCATGCATCCCGGTCTATGGTACCGTGCCTTGCTGTCATGCATCCCGGTCTATGGTACCGTGCCTTGCTGTCATGCATCCCGTTCTATGGTATCGTGCCTTGCTGTCATGCATCCCGGTCTATGGTGCTGTGCCTTGCTGTCATGCTTCCGTTCTATGGTACTGTGCCTTGCTGTCATGCATCCCGGTCTATGGTACCGTACCTTGCTGTCATGCACCCCGTTCTATAGTACCGTGCCTTGCTGTCATGCATCCCGGTCTATGATACCGTGGGTGTAAAAGCCCAAGAACAACTCGTCTTGTTCCTTCAATCCAGGTTTTTTTTTTAGATAAGCTACTATCCCCATTCTAGTGTTATAGCAGGGCTGCCACTTGCTCCGATTTTTTGGAAATCGTCCGATTTTTGATCCCCTGTCGGACAAACCGACCGATTTTATTTTGAGCACTTTTTAGTCCAGTTGGCCATTTGGCTCTTCCAGGTCGCGTTTGTCCAGTCATTGTACATGTACATGTACATGTAGCTGTAAAATGCTAATGTGTTGACCGTTAAAAATGTGTTCTGGGACCCCAACAGCAAGCCATTTTCCTAAATATTTTCACCCGGGGGACCCCCCAGACCCCCGTCAGATTTTTCTCCCTCCAAGTGTGGCAGCCCTGTTATAGACTGCATAAGAGTAATCCAATATTGACTTTTATTATCTTTTTCTGCACAGAGTCCTGTGGGAGCGGTGTTCTTGCACCGAACATGAGTTGTGCATGTAACCGCACTATGTCCTACGGTGAAGAATGTGAAAAGGGTAAGACAGCAAGCCATTAGGTTCGTGTGCATGTGTGTGTATATGTGTGTATGTGTCTGTATGTGCGCATATGAATATCTGAATGTGCGTGTATGTGCGTGCTTGTGTGTGTATGTGTGTGTAGGTGCGTGTATGTGTGTGTAAGCGATTACAGGGGGCAAAGCCACCTGTCCGGTTGGTCCTGCTTTCACCGGACCACTTTTCGGGCCGATGTTTCCTTTTCTCTTTCTAGAGAGCTGATGGGAGTTCAGCGATCGATTGGGCGCAGTACCATGTGCATTATGTACACAGCACCGACTAGGGAGACCTGCATGTACTGTGCCTTATATGTAGGGCTTTCAGGGACAGACTGGCGGCACAGAGTTTTTTTTTGCTTCATGTTGATCGAGAGTCGGAGATGGCTGCGAAAACCTTGAAGGCATCTGTTCCTGAGATTTCTTATATTCCCATAGCCAGCAATGTTTTTAGTTTCCAAAACAATTGTGCGAGGAAACGAAGCCTGTAATGTGCGCTTCTAAGCCCTAACGGTTCACAATCTTGGCTTTCCTGGATTATGATAAGGGTGCAGGTTCAGTGCTTTGCCACACGACTGTCTATTCTTCCGGCCACAAACTCCACATTAGAGAGGTTATTCCGTGCATTTCGCCACCTGAAGACGTCACAAGGCCGTCTCCATCATCTAATGGTTTTGCAGTATCATCAAGACGGACGAGAAAAAAGTACTTTCTCCAAGTTTAGGTCATATCATCATAACTGCAAGTTTTAAAAGGTAAAATGTCCAACTGAGACCAGTCCAAAAGTGGTCGCTACCGCCCTGCATTAGGTTTTTGTTGTTTTTATCAGAACACACACCTTCCAGAGAAAGGGATGAACACTAACAAGAAGCCGTCCCTACATCCCCTGTGTCTTGTTTGTGTTCTTGAGCTGTGAAATGTGATTGGCTACTTATACTAATGTTCCAGAAGGTTCTAGAATTTTGTCGGCAACCGGTTTTCGTAGATAGCTTGTTGGTTAAGGACCTAGAACATGGTTGGAGGTTGTCGAACTTTTGTTCCCTTCCTTTCTTCTTTATTGTTGCTTCTTTACTCTCTTTGCTTTCCAAGTGTGTATATAATATTTCTTCTGTGAGCATTATTTGTAAAACTAGAAAGTGAGTGCTTTGACTTGAGTTTGTGCGTGATTGCCTCCGGGGGCCACTTACTACACCGTGACCTCCTGTGCATTATTTCTGCATCACTCACTCCATGCATGTGCTTTTTTCCCTGCCTGTTGCAGCATGCAAGTGCTTGAACCAAGGTGAGTGTGATGACAAAGGTGAATGCAGCTGCCCTAGGGGATTCACCGGCCACCATTGCCAACTCGGTAAGTAGAAGTGAATTCGTTTTACTCATTTCATATGGCTGGCGTGGGATTTTTAGAGCGTACATCCATGTAAAAGTGGGCTCCCCTTTACCTTACGTGTACGAGTAGGCTTCGCGGTAGTTTTAACAGGGGTGACAGAGAACTAGGACATGCATACTGGTCTTTTGGAGTGCTCGCTTGAAATAGGAGTGTTGGGGTGAAACGAATATTCTAAATCGTACCGAATATTCTGTAAACGAATTGAATAAGTATCGCCGAAGTAGCACCAACCCTTTCTTCAAATTGGATACCGGATATTCTATAGTTTGTTTGTTCTCACATCACTGAAGAATATGTAGACAGTTCTGTCTGGTTCAGCCTTGTGAGCCATAGTCCCCTTTCCCAGCATGCCAACCACCGCATTCTACTGCCATGTACTCGAGGTTACTCAAAATTTCAGAAATTTTCGGTTCTCAATATTTTCGGCATGAGGGCAACAGGCTAGGTTAGGTGGACAGAAATTTTCGGTACAGAGAAGCAGTTCCCTATTGGATTATGTGTGTTAGTGTTTGTTTGGTGTCTTGAAATTTTACGTATGAAACAGACGCACCGAAAGTTCCGAAAATAAAAGTACACAGAAAATTTGTGAAATTACAGCACCCTAATAGAGAAGTTCGGCAATACGTAAAGTTGAGCAACTTTACGTTAGTGGTACATATTTAGGACTCTCTAGCCAGGTCGACCCGGTCATACACTGCCGCGTTCCAAGCTGCCAAGGGCAGGTACGTGATTCGAAAACTCCATCAGGCGGAACACAGGTCCGCATGCAGTGGGACTCTCCATTCATCGACTAATTATGTTGCGCGGAACCTCTCTAATGTTGTAAGCTATAACCTCACACGGACCAAGTCAATGACTGGAATATTAGGCTGCGTTTACATGAAAATGCACGGCCAGTTTTCCATTTTCGGTCCCGCATTTCTTCTTTAGTTTTCGTGCGTTTACATGATCAAAGCTGATCCGAGGTGGTCTCCGTTTGTATCGTTTTCGCGCGTCTACACGGGAGCAAAGGATCCGCAAACGTTCGTCATGTGCCAAGTGTTGTCGTGGAAGCACCAACAACACTCGTCACATGACGAAAATTGTAAAAACATTTTTTGGGATTGCCGGATCCGTGTAAACGGCCGAAAACGAAACAAACGTGACGGAAAACGAGGCCAGCATACCGTTTCGACTGTTTACGCACTCAAATTTCTCCTTCAGAACATTTCCGTTTTCAAATTCTTCCACCTTGGCCAGCGTTTTGGTTTTCTTCCATTTTGGTCTACAACTTTTACGTTTTGCTCTTCGAACCGTGTAAATGAACCACGCATCCGAAAGGATTTTGTTGCGTTTTCACCCCCAGCTTTGTCGTGTAAACGCAGCCTTACTTGCACATGCAAAATGTCCAAAACCAAAACACTATGTATTCAGATCTGAATCGAATGCTTCGAATTGTTATCCAAAGGAACAATTCCAGAATATTCAGAATTCGTTTCACTCCTAAATGACACAACAAAAAAAGCACGAACAGTTCTCCGGCCACACTCCAAAATAGCAATTTGTGCTACTCCTGAACTGTGAACTGTTCGTGCTGTCGTCTGCAAGTGCTCTGGTTTGGTCTGGTCTTGTCAAATGAAAAACCTATTACCACCCTCTGTCTTAAGTTGGTCATGTCACGTTGTGCTTCTGTCGTCATTTTGTTTGTTAGCAAAGTTTCAATTGTCTGAGTGTGCCGCAGAGCAGTGATGATAATTGACGCTATCTACTGATAGCACTGATTTGTAAACTGCTGCTTGTCATTCCTGCTTTAAGAGTGCTTACCTTCCAGCAGCATATCTATCTTTTGGAAGAAGGCCATTATGATCGAAACCCAGATTTATCCAAGTTTCCCTGGTCCAGCCTCTTTTACTTTATAATTGTCTTTAGTCTGCCTGACTCCGTTTCCGGCTGATTCACTCTCTCGTGTTCTTCCTCTTCGGTGTGTGCTATGTGATGGATGCAGTTGTGTGCGAGGAACCCTGGGTGAAAAAGAGCAAAGTGTGTGAATGTCAACCGGGACTAGATGGACCCAACTGCACAGAAGGTAAGGGCTAAAGAAAGCTACTGTAATATGCCTGCGTGTCAAATAATGTATGACCCATGGGTTCATGCATGCTGGAATGTTGTATTCGGAGTCGAGAAGAAGAAAAAAACTTCCGTGTCCTCATGCCAGTTCCTCCAACCAATTCTACCTCTTTATTCTATTCATGTGGAATAAATAATGCATATTTATGGGGAGTTGGTCACTCTCATGAGTTGAGCTATTTTGTTGTCAAGAGTTCATTTTACGTCTCCATGTTATCATGTTCAAGGACATGTCAAGAACCCGCTTTTCTGTTCCTCTCTTTCTGCTTTTTTGGAAAATGCGTGAATATTCCCAATCACTGCTGCAGCATGTAATTGCTTGAATGACGGTCAGTGCACTGACGATGGCAGTTGCAATTGCCGGAACGGTTTCCATGGAGACAAGTGTCAGTATAGTGAGTATTATGCTGTATGAAGTGAATTCCAGTTTGCTGGCATATTTCTGTGAAATGTGGGAATACCTGTACACATTAAAGAGACGTTGTTTTTTTTATCTACAGGTTTGGGTAGAAACTATTTCTTTCGGTAGAGGCGTTCGTTTCTTCTACTCAAAAGGGTGGGTTCTACTTTCCTCTGCCGGCTCTACAAGGAAAAAGTTGGTTGAAGCCGGTAGAAGTTGGTAGAGCTACGTTTGCTGTGCATATTTCTGTGAAATGTGGGAATACCTGTACACATATTAAACGGGGCGTTCTTTTCTTGATCTACAAGTTTGGGTAGAAACTATTTCTTTCGGTAGAGGCGTTCGTTTCTTCTACTCAAAACTTCAAGTCAAAAGTGTGGATTCTACTTTCCTCTACCGGCTCTACCAGGAAAAGGTTGGTGGAAACCGGTAGAAGTTGGTAGAGCTACGGGATTTCCGGCAAGATCAAGGATTTGTACACAACTCCATACAGAATAGAAACATTTCACGTACATATCGTGTAAACTAATAAATCCGGTAGAATAGCGTTTGTCCACTTACCTCTACCTTCTTC